AAAAAGCAAGGGAAAAAAAGCAAGGGAAAAAAAGCAAGGGAAAAAAAGCAAGGGAAAAAAAGCAAGGGAAAAAAAGCAAGGGAAAAAAAGCAAGGAAAAAAAGCAAGGAAAAAAAGCAAGGAAAAAAAGCAAGGAAAAAAAGCAAGGAAAAAAGAAAAAATTGCTTTACAGAGGCCCTTATCAAAGGCTTTCAGAAATCTATGCAAGTTGTGCCCAACAAGACACCTTTATCTACAGCTTTATTACTTCTTTCAGAGAACTATCAGGTTTCTTCTTACAGAAAAACCTAATCTCATCCTGTTATAGCACCTGTGAGGAAACACTGTGTGACCAGCAGAGGTTTATCAGCAAGGATCAAGCCAAAACCCAGATAAGCATTTCTGTATGTCACACAAGTGCCAGGAAGATTTAACTTGTGGTTTTGGGTTTTTTTTTTGTTGTTGTTGTTGTTGTTGTTTGTTTGTTTTTCTCTCCCCTCTCCTCCCCTCCTCAGGCACAGGGAAACCTCGTGAGCAGATGGAAGATAGATGAGAACTCTTGAGAGGGGGCCGTGTATTCGGCTTTCCCAAAATCCCTGCAGATCGAGGCAAGCGCAGATCTCAGCCCTGTGTCTGCAGAGGTGCCAACAGCAGCTTCTCTCTGCCGGGGACTACTCGGAGCAGCAGCGCTCTGTAGTCACCAGGGAGGCCGGCTGGGGAGCGCTCGCGACTGGAGGCGCCGGGCGGCACCTCTGGCAGGGCCTGTGGGGCGCCCCGCAACGGCCGGAGCTTCATCGCGCTCTGCAGCGCCGCAGGCGCCCCCCACCCCGGCTCGCAGAAAGGCACGGAGGGACAGACCGAAAACAGCGCTGCGCTTTTCTCCCACGGCGAAGCAGTGGCGGCGCTTCCGCCCAGGGACCTCGCACCAGCTACCGGTGGCCGCCTCACGCCTCGGCCTCTTCCCTCGTGCCACGGCCGGCAGCAGCTCCGGTCCCTCGGCCCGCCTGGCTGTCCTCGCACCAAGGCCCCGCGGCCCAGGAAGCACCGCACTCACCGAGCCCACGCACCGCCTCCCGCGCGCAGCGGCACAAACCAGCCCCGCCGCTTCCGGCATCACCGGCGCCCCTGCCCATTGGCCCGTCCGGAGCAGGGTGCGCGCGGGAGCTGGGCCCTGCGCCCCATTGGCCCGTCCGGAGCAGGGTGCGCGCGGGAGCGGGGTTCCCGGCCGCACTGGCGGAGCCCGCACCCCGCGAGGCGGCCGCCGTGTGCCGGGGGCAGCGGCAGGATGGAGCTGCCTCGCCCGAGGGGCAGCGCCGGCCGGCTGCGTGTTCCCGCCTCAGCTGGGCTTCTGGCGGCCGCGCCTCCGCGCCCTCTTCCCCACCCACAGCAGAGTCGCGGCTTCGGGGCACGTGCGAGCGCCCTGGGCGGCGGGGGGAACCTCGCCTGTGCTGCCTCTTGCCGCTCTAGGCTTTCGGAGCGGCTGTCCCGGCCGGCCCCGCCACAGGGCTCGGGCACTGCAGGGAGGCGGGAGGGCGCTCAGGGGGCTCTGCCACTCGGGGCACGCCGCGGCTGCCTGGGACTGGTGCGACCACCACTACCGCAGCGCGGCTGGGCGGAGGAGGAGAGCGAAGCTCGTGACGTTCTCGGTGCGAGGCCTCCGGCAAGGGGTGACGCGCACGGCGCCCAGGCCCAACCGGGGGTCTCATGGGGGAGGTCGCAGCAGTGACGCCTTCTCACAGCGCCTGTGTTTAACGTGTACGAAAAATAGAGTGGCTTGCAGAAAGTGGAGCAAGATGAAGCTAAGGGGTGTAGGGAGCACAACAAGTAAGCAAGAGACCACTCCTTTTTCTTTACACCTGTGGAGTTAAGCAGTGATTAGGACAGTGCAAACAAGTAAAGCAGGGACTCCTTTCCTTTGTTCCTGGAGAAAACAAAAGCACACTATGGAAGCTTTTAGTGTAAAGCTGTGTCCTTTATGAAAACGTCTTTGCATTTAATGTGTTTGCTTACATAGCAGAAGGGGAGAGATCTCAGAATATTAATTTGTGTTCTCAGGATGTCTTTTCACCAGAAACAAGAATACAGATCTGTGATGAAAGCAAAAAGTGGTACTCCAAGGACTCTTTCAGAAGGCAAAAATAAAAATACCCACTGGCATTCATTTCCAGCATGACAAGAGCCTGACACCCTCACAGAAAAATCTAATTAAGTGCTGGGCGTGCAGCAGAATTTACATAGGTAGTGCACTTCAGCTTTTTGTAACTCTGCAAAAATGGTGAAAGTTTGGGTGAATAGAGCATGTCAATCATAATTGCTCCAATCCCATGAAATTTCACAAATTGTATGCATTTTCCCAGTGAGGATAGGAAAATCTTTTTTTTTTTTTAATTGCCCTTTAGTGGGCTGGGTCTCAAGTTATTCTTGTGATCCAAATAAGCTCCTTTAGCATCTGTTCCAGTCTCACTCTGTTTTGATTTCTTAGAGCAAAGAGACAAACAAAAAGATTCAGTTGATTTCAGGTAATTTTAGCAGAAATACTGTCACCTACATTTTGCTTTTCATACTGGTTCATTTTGTTAGATACAAAGATAAGCTCGAAGGAGAGTTACAACCTTCTGACCTTATGTGACCCTGGGCAGAAGACCTTGGCCATATATCATATCATTCTGACTTGTTGACCAGCACATTTCATATCATGTTGCAACCAATTGTGAAGCTGTAAATCTCCTACTCTGATTTTGAGAGGCTGTACCTGCTACTCTGATTTTCTGTACTTTGAGGTTCATTTTCTAGCGACCATTTTCTTGTGGGCTTTTCTTATTCAACAAACCGTGGTGCTGAGCCTTGTGCCCCACGATGAGGAGTTATTCTGCAGCCAGTGTGGCAAGGCCATAACAGCTGCCGAGACACTGGAGGTGAAAATGTCACGCTGAAAAATCATTGCTAAGTGAAGAGGTTTATAAGACGAGATGGAGGGGCAGGCCGCAATAGGGGCATTGCTTGGTGTGTGACCTGACATTTGCAGGTCATAGAATATTTGATACATCCTATTTTCTAAAATACTTTTTCTCCTATTTTCCCAAAGGGATGAGTTTCCCTGGCAACAAGTAAAGCTGCGGGAGAGCTGAGATTATGGCACGACCCTTGGGTCCTAAGAACCTGTGCATTTCATCGTGTCATGCTGTCGGGGGGGGGCATAACCTTGAAACTGCCCCGTTAACACCAAAGTTGAGCGAATTGCATCACTCGCTGTCTTACCAGGCACACCAAATTTCAAGATGATCAAATACACAGCAGCAGGAAGTAGCATATCACTGTAATTTGCTCATCTGCTGCCCTACAGCAGAACACACCTTCAGTTGCTTTTCACTTGCATGTGGGGAACACTACATTCAGGACAGATGCAAAGAAAATGCTTTAAAAACAGTCAACCATCATCCTGACAGTCTGTGCGCACACACACACACACAGGCTGTATCTGTGGTGAGCACTGAGAAGTAAAATAGCAGTAATTAACTGGAGAGAAGATAAACAGCAATTAGAAAGACGATCACATTTTTGTCAAATGTTTAAGGTCAAGGCATTCCTGATACCTAACCACCCACCATTAGCTATTTGTTTCAGTTTTACATTCTTGCATCCCTTTGCTGCAAAGTGACACAACAGGGGCTCAGCATGGTGAGAAGAATATGAGATTCAATGATTTTCAATGACAGGTTATGCTAGCTGTGAAGGTGCAAAGATGGTGGGGAAAAAACAAAGAAACAACTGCACGATAGTAGGAATTAAAAATGAGAGATCTCCCTTAAGCAAAATCCAATATACTAATCTGGACAAATGGGCAAAGAGAAACCACATGAAGTTCAACCAAAGTAAGTGCAAAGTCCTGCACAGGGGAGGATTAACCCCTTGCACCAGCACAGGCTGGAGGGCAATCATCGCAAGAGCAGCTTTGCAGTAAACAGTGGGGGAGTCTTATGGGTGGACAAGGTGACAAGCAACATGCCAAGGGGGCACAGGCAGCCACCACCACCCAGGGCTGCTTTAGAAAGAGTTTTGCCAGCACGTTGAGGGAGGGGATTATCTGCCTCTGCTCAGCACTGGTGAGGGCGGATCCGGAGTGCTGGGTCCATCACTGGGCTCCCCAGGGACATGGACTTGCTGGAGTTAGTCCAGGAGAGGACTTCCAGATGATGGAAGGGACAGGAGCATCTCTCGTATAAGGAGACAATACTTATATAGTGTGTATAAGAACTTATAAGCAGAGGGGAGAATGTAGGGAGGAAAGGGCCAAACTGTTCTCAGTGGCGGCCAGTGACAGGACAAGGGGGAGTCTCCTTCTCTGGAGATCTTCCAAACCCACCTCGATGTGACCATGTGCCCCAGGCTCTGGGTATCCCTGCTGGAGTAGGGGGTTGGACTAGATGATCCCTACAGGCCCCTTCCAACCTTAACCATTCTGTGATTCTGTGAGATGCTGAGAGAGCTGGTACTGATCAGCATGAGGAAGAGAAGGGAATTTATCAATACTTGTTAATATCTGACAGGAGAGTGTAAAAAAGAAGGGCCTGGACTCTTCTCAGTTACGCTCAGTGACACAATGGGAAGTTGTGGGCACAAAATGAAGCACAGGCAATTCCACTTGAACACAAGGACACATCTTTACTGTGTAGATAGTTGTACGCTGGAACAGACTGCCTAGAGAGTTTGTGGAGTCTCCATCCCTGGCAATATTCAGAAGGGCTGGATGTGGTCCTGGGCACTCTGCTTTTATTTGACTGCCTGAAGAGAGGGGCTGGACCAGGTGATCACCAGAAGTCGCTTCCTGCATTAGCTCTTCTCTGATTCTGCAGTTGGAGGGGAGAAGGATGGGAGAAGTGAAGCATTTGTAGAGTGGCAGGGCAGACAGAGGCCAGGAGAGGGAACAGAATTAAGAGTTTATAGAATCTAGGAGAGAGGGGTAGGTTACTAAAGAGCTAAGACATAGGAGATGGGAACGGAATATTTGGGCCCTGCATTCTTCACTTCTGCTTCTATAATCTGCCTGGGAAGCTGAGTAGACAGGAGAGCCTGCTATGATGCAAACAGATGTACAAGCCTTCTTTATTATATACTAGGCTCAAATTTGTGATTCCACTCTCAAATTCCTTTGTTTTTGTAGTTCATACACAGCTCTCCTGTCCACAGCTCTCCTGTCCTACTATTATCTCCTCAAGGCAGCTAAAATGAAGAGCTGTGAAGGGGGATCACAACAGCAATGTATGTATCAGTAATGTGTATGGAACAGTGATCAAGGAGGCAAGCAGCTGTTAGAAATACAACTAAACAAAGGCTTTGATCTGACAGGCAAATAGAACTTCTAAATATGGATGAATGAGTAGAGGTTATATACTTTGACTTTATATCACTATTGGCACACTCACACTACTATGCTCACGCGTCCAGGTAAAGACAGCCTATAGAGTATATAGAAAATGGTTATGAAATAATGACTATCGGTGCTTCTCTGTAGCAATTTGTTTGAAAATATTCCACATTTTCACTGATTAGATAAATGAATAGTGTATGAATTGACTGGAAGCAGCATGCTTCTCAATTCCCTACCTGGATTGTTGCGATAATCCAGAAGACAGATGCCTGTTTCTTCTTATTCAACCTGTATCCTGCCACATTTGGCAGCACGAGGTCTGGCAAGTTTCTGCAAGTAGCCAATTTGCTGGATCAGTTTCGTTACTAGCACCTCTGAATTAATTTCCCAGATTCTACAAATTGGAGGCATGAGTGGATAGGTGACATAGTCTACATGTGTTCTGCTAAAATATCTGTATGTGTTTCACTAAAACTTTGCAAAAGCTCTACAGGTAGAATGAGAAGACACTTATATGCAAAATAAAAACTTGTAGCTCTACACTACCCATACCTAACACCAGGATGTGGTATGTCCAGATGCGTCTGGATGTGTCCAGACTGGTTTTGATGTGCTGCACCAGAACCAGCAGCAGACTTGCACATAATTCTGAGATAAAACACAAAAGGAATCAGAATTAACTTTCCAAAATGAAATATACAAAGTTACTTCCTGAGATGTGTATGCTTTATACTGTCAGTGTTTCTGTTTTATCCAGGTTCCTCTGATAGCCTGATTAATTACAAGTTTCTCAGTTCATTTTTACATAGCAGTGGTTAAATGTGTCATGATGAAAGGCGACAAAGTTGTGCTAAGCACTGCATAATTACAAAGGAACCAAAATATTTTGTCGAAAGTATGCCAGATTTCTCTGTTTTTCTATCTTGCTACCACTTCTGTTGGAGCACTTGACATTAAACGGGGAAAAATCTGCCCATCTAAAGAATTTAAAGTCAATAATAAATTACTTTCTAAAAAGCACACTAGAGTTCAAATATTGCTCATGGGAATGACTGTGCAGATTTCCTAAGCCTATGGTATTCACATTAGACAGAGTGATCTCATTCAACTTTAAAAACAGTAATATTACCTTATTGTCCCAGATATTGAACCACAGGCAAGTAAGGTACCGTAATAAATTTTACTCTCGTAATATAAAAACCTACAAAAACCTCATAAAATCTTATAGTCATGGCAGAGTGTTTCTTGGCTCACAGAATCCTAGGAACATTATATTCAGCCCAGCTTCCACAAGGAAAAATTAGAAAGGAAATTTCCTTGACAAAGAATTGTGAAATTCAGTTACATTTCAGAGGATGGAACACTTGCAAATTACTTAGCTTCACCCTACACTTTGCTAATACAAACAGTGATTAAAACAAGGCAACTTCAATTGAATACCTATATTTGAAAAGACATACAGAAGAGTAAAAAACTGACACAGATGCACGGTTGCCACGTAACAAGGACGGTTCAGAGGTAACTGACAAACAGTCTACTCACAAAATAACAATTCAAGCTCCTGGGAGACTTGACTAGATCATTTTTTTACACATTTTAAATATTCAGTTAATTCTGTACAGAAAAATGAGGTGCTTCTCTAATGCAAATCTGAATAAACACAGCTCCAAGATCCTTGGTTTGAACGGTGTTCTTCCCTCAATACTCCTTTGTATAGAAAGCGCTGTTACTTTCTTGAATCTTGGAACGATCATTTTCACTTCCTCCTTCCGCCGGTCTTCATACAAAAAGCATCTCCTGACAGCCCTCAAGAGTTCCACTGCAATGAGGTTTGCAGATTGTACGCAAGGAGAATTAGTGGTGTCAGAGGCCACATAACAAAAGTTAGTCCTGTGGCTTAATCCAAGAACAGAAGGCACATAGGCACAGTATAAGAACCCAAGGAGAAAAGTCCATGATCTGGGCCATATTCTGAACATGTTACTACACTTACAGAACTTTACATACAGGCCCCACCTATCTGAATTTCTTCAGAAGCAGAAAATTCTAGACAGTATTAGAATCACCAAAAATAAGCCAGCCAGATCATCTCTGTAGTTTCTTTCCTCAGTTAGTGCTACTTTGAATGGAAAAAAAAAGTCAAATGGGAGTTTCCAGTATGTCCTGGGCTGGCCACGTGGAGGTTCTGGCCATTCTGTCATGTCAGTGAAGGTAACAACAGTTGTCAAAGGCACCATGCTCATGCTTAGGAACTGTAATAAAAAGGAAAGCACAGAGTTTAGCATCCATAACACAAAAACCACTTCTGGTTTAACTCTCTAATAGTCACCCAAAATAGCTGGTACTCTCCACCAGCAACCACTCATATCACCTTCTGCATGTTGTTTTCATAAATCATGAATGGTAGTAGCATGGGTCTGTAGTGAGCATGGGTCTTCACAATATTCAAGTCAGGAAGATCAGGATGTGGATGGCTTTAAGTATAGACCTGGATTCCTCCTCCCACCATAGTTCAAGCCTGTCAAAGCTGTGGACTTTGCCAGATGAAATGTAAATGGTGAGGACAATTTATTATAGGATAGGCAAACATCTCTCCCCTTTAAACATTTGCCAGTGAGATCCACTGTGGATGACTAGTAGGCAGGATGTGAGAATTAACCATTAACCATTCCAGATACAACTTTTACTGGAGTGCTTCTTTCCCAAATTTGATAAGTTAGCAGACAAGTCTGGCTCACAGGGCAGGCATTCTGCATTATGCTTTCAGACTGCCACAATGGTTTGATCAATAAAATAAAGCATGGACCCAGTGCATTTATAAATCTCTTTACAGTTTAAGATATTCCAGAAAGGAAATGAATTCGCAGATCCATTGGTAAAAGCGGAACTGGGGAATGGAATTATATCGAAGCCTCAGTACTTCTCTGTTTTAGCAGAATGCTCTACGGAATTTTTTGGAGTTTCTTGAATTTCTTAAGTTCTGAAAAGTTTCATGGCTAGCTTGGGCTCACCTAATGAATCTTATCTGCTGAAGCAGCTCACTCCTGCTCCTTCTCTGCCATGCATTGCTAACCTCATGAGAGGGAATCTACTTGTAGGGTGCCCTCTTCTTTTGTGGCTCCACTGGCTTAAGCAATCTAAATCGCCACTTCATTCACTTTCTTGAAAATGTGACAGTGATAAGGAAGATTGCCTTGGAGAAAAGTGGTATAGGAAGCATTTGAAAAATCTCAAGGAAGAATTCATAACTCTCAGGAGAAACACAGTGAGATTCCCGATGGAAGTAGTTCTCTAACTGATGAGTAAATACATACTAGATAGAACTGTCAGCAAGAAGGCTCAAGAAGGCCTGGCTTTGTATCTTGACCTTCAAACTCAGACTGAAAATCAAAATCGAAGAAACTGTGGGGAAAAAAAAAAAACTTCCAAACCAAAATCACTCTTCCATGGCAGAAAAGGCAGTCACAAGCTACTTCCAGCATCTTCCCATGTAGCTCTACATCATTTAGGGCTGACTTTTATTTTCAGGAAGTCCAAATACAAATGTGATCACAAGTCGTGAAAGGTTTTTTTTTTTTTTTTTAAAAAAAAAAACAACTACACGTTGATGCTGTTGCCGAAGTATCTTTACCGACACTGTAATTTGTGGATTGCCACTAATGAAGTCAGTAGTGATTTAAAGGTGTTTTCTTGCTGCCGGAAAACTGCTTTCGTATCATTTGCTTTGCAGCATTCCTTCCAGCCCTAAAGTAATTAGCATCTGTTGCTCAAGCAGATAAAATCTGGGTCTCATGGCTCCCAACTGACTAATCCTTACTGATGATACACACTCTGTGCTCTCTCCTCAAACACAAGCTATGTCTTATATAAGCCATATAAAACTTCAGATTTAGAAGCTATCCCAGAGGTAAGTTTCCTTTGGGGCAATATACGATTTACAAGGGGAACATATTATTACTATGCTCTTTTCATACATGTTTCAAGGAGGGAGGAAGAAGAGGTATCATGAGACATCCAACCAAGGAATAGATCTTGTTCAGATCTGAGTCCAAAGTTCAGGGAGTAGCAGCAGATCAGCCATGTCATATCTCACTGCCATGAGAGCACTGCACAAAGGTGTCAGCAGCTCTCTGCTAAAACCCTTCCACAGAGGGAAGCCTGAAACACCTGTGTAGCCCAACAGACAATGCCATCTCAAAAATCCAGCCTCAGGCCAAAAATGGAATCCACTGTCACTTGAAAAGGAGCGTTTGTTTTCCTTCAGAGTCATCTTAGCTCCACCCTCCTGGTGTCATCCTGTAATCTCTTTGAAACCTCTTTTCTGGCTCACAATCACTGCTATTGACATTAGGCTCTTCCTCAACTATCCACTGGTGATTTTGGAATCACTAGAGGAAGAGTAATATTCTCTTGCATTGTACAGCACTGTAAGTCAAATGCTGTATCAAGACTCTAAGAAGCAAGAAGATAAAGGTGAAGTTGTTATAGTTTCTGTAACTATGTCTTTATATGGAACATAACAAGGTGTTTAAAGTTTCAGTCCTCAAGCGGCAGAAAGTTCTGAGCTTGAAGAGAAAGTACCTTTTTCAGTTGTACAGCGGACTGAGGACCATATTAGTAAGACCATAAAAATCACCTTCCTGTATGGAGTCTTTAAATGCAAACCCATGCCACTGCAGCTATGCCACTAGAAAATTCAATATACTTCAACTCAGTAGTATCAAGATCATCTGATCCTTTGCTTCTTAAATAGTTTGTGAATCTCATTTAGCAGCCTCAGTGTATGACAGAGGAGTTTTTAAGTTCATACCTTTAGTGGCTGACACTGATAGAAGTACTGTGCACTCAGTATTTGAGCTTGTGGGTTAGACAGAAGGCCTTCCTTAGACCACAATATCTGGATCTCCAGGGTCACAGGAACCATGCAACATGAACTGCAATTCATAACCTGAAAAGAAAACGGAACCTAAATATTTCAGTGTAATCTTTTAAAGTGAAAAATGGACATTAAAGTCACAAAACATTATGTTTTCTGTAGCACAGGTCGCAGAATCTCAACCAGTCACTTCAGCACCAGCCCCATAACTCTGGACAGGCCTTTGTCTATCTTTAGAGCTATATCCATCTACCATCATCATCTTTCTGAACAGAACTTGCATTAGATCTCTCCCTTAGATTTTGTGTTCTGATAGGCCTTCTCCTGTTAAATTAAATATTATTAAAATCTCACACAAACACTTCAGTTGGAAGCTCTTAACTTCAGTTAGGTAATATATAAATAACCACAGTACACAGAAAATCACAAAGATGATTCATTCAGATAAGTCAATAGTTAAAGAGATTCAAACAGTAACATAATAACAACATAAGCATCAAAATACTAAAAAGGGGAAAGGCAGCATTATTTCTCTAACACTGTCAGGAAACTGGTAGTACAACATTCAGTTCTGTGATTAAAACTCTTTGTCAGTCTTTTAAATGCCTGGAACATGACTCAAGAAATATTATATCTGTCAGTTCAGTTCCTTGCTTATTTAGTCAAGATGAACATCCTAATAATGTGAACCACAAAAAGTTTCTGGATACTACTGGAAGTCACTGGAGATCATTACACAAAGAAAGTATGCCCATATAAAGAAGCTGTTTTTGCTTCCTTGCCCACTCTCTCAAAAGTGATACAGGATAGGAAAAGCAAAAATATTCTCATTTGGTTTCTTTGCATTCGTATTACCTGTACACTACAGTTCCGAATCAGAATGGTGGTCCATTGTTCTGCCTGAGTTGAACGAGCACTGCCAATTATAGCAAGGTCTTCCGCTCCATTCATCCCCTGGAACGCCTTATATAACTTCTGCTGAACATAACTACAGTCACCTTCTTCCAGCATTTGGGATAGACTGGAAATGAAGAAATAACAGCTTTGACAGAATGATTTCCAGGACAGAGACCATTCTCAAGAGAAAAAAACTTCACTCTTTACTAATGACAATTTCACGCTTTTTTTTTTGCTCTTGTAACAAGTCAATAGAATAATTACAGAAATATCAGTACTGAAGGGACAAAATTGCAATCCTTTCCAAAACAAGATGGGAGAAGATGAATTCCTTAGGGTAGCAAATGATGATCAATCCAACGGAAGAAAGTGACAAACAAGTCCCCTCCTTCATAATGTGTCAAGGAGGGTGACTGCAGAGCATTCTTACCTGAGCTTGCATCCTGTCTTCATATTTCTTCCAAACTGTACTTGGTGCCTGAGGAACTGTGAGCAACTTCCATCACCTTGGCTTTGTAAAATGGTCATCTGACAGACTACATGTCAAGAAACCAAAGAAAAGCATAAACAGACAATAAAACCACAATTTGTACTTAACATTCCTCGTACTCCACACATTTCTTCTTAACCTTATCAGAGGACTATGTTCAATCCTGACCAAAAGGCAGGACAAATGCTGCAGGGTAACACTGAAGTATACTTTCAGAGTCCAGAACATAAATAGACTAATTAATAGTCAATAATAGACAAATTAAATCCGACAATAGAGGCTAACAAATAAAACCTGAAAGCAGAAAGGATACATGCTGCCTGGCACCATCATTTGTAATCAACAATGGTGCTCCAACAATATAGCCAGGGTTCCCACTTCGAGGCAAGGTGTGAGTAAGAGTCCTCGTCTATAAAGAGGCAACAGGAGAACAAAGGCAGAAGGAAATGTTACAGGCGAAAAGGAAAGCATTATCATCAACCAGATCCACCCATTCTGTAAGAACAAATTCACATTTTCAGGCAATGTAAACATAACTCATTTTCGGAGCAACTAAATATTATGCACTACCAAAACCTCCATTATTTGTTTCCAAATTTTCTTACCCAGCAAGATTACCTCCAGTCCAGGAGCTAGCAAACTACATGTCATTGTCCTGAAACGTGGACACTACCCGGACAATTCTTGAGACATGAAATTCACACTGCTCAGCATTTTTCTCAAAGTGAACATGTCAGTCTGGGCAGTTCTACAGTCAGGACAATGATCTGCAGAACAAACCTTGCCTTGACCCTGCTTCGGAGCAGCGCATTCCACCTCTAAATTGTTTTATGAAGAGAACCTCGGGGGATAACTTCATTCACCGCTCAGTTATCAGCCCTAGAGGTCACCTTTATCCTACATTATACTGCATCTACAAGAGAAGGTTTGTATGAACTGCAACACACATTAGTACTTTCCGAAGTTCCTTCCCTTATAAAGTAATTCTTATTCTCTCTACAAGGGCAAAGTTAAACATTAAACATATCTAGAATAACTACAGCAAATTTGTTCTCAAACACCGAACATTTGGAGTACAGCACTTAGCTTCCCTCTGTCCTTCAGCAAACCATGCTCCAGTGACCCTGATCCATCTCATCCTTCCCAATGCTGCCTCCTTCCCCCCTCCACTCCACCCCCAAAAAAGAAAAGAAAGAAGAAAAAAAAAAGGGCTGAACAGAACAGCCAGTTCCAAATTTCACAGTGCAAGCTTGCAATAAGTCTGAATCCTTCTTCAAGTAAACATGGTTTACTTGAGTCTAAAACAGTGCTCCCTCTTTCTTCAACTGCCAGCCCTCTTTCCTAGGTTCCTTTCTGGTAGTACAGCACTCACATGACACTGCCCTAATCTTACCTAATCTTACCCCATATGATCTGTGTAAAACTGGGCCAGAATTCATTATTTGGTAAAAGCCCAAAGACTATGGGGGCACTGACCCAGAAGTGCAAAGTGAAATGCTGCTGTAGAGAAGATCCTGAGTTCCCAAGGATGCTGGTGACTTTAAACTGCACAGACACATTCTGAATCCCATGGGTGCTGTTGAATTCTATTTCATAGATCACCTGAAAGTCCAATACAAAGGGGAATCAGAGACAGAGTCAGGTAATAGTACAGTGGTCTTAAACTAGACCTGAGTTACCCTAAAGAAAGAAGGTTCAGATACCTCAGAAACAACATTGTAACACATGTTGTCTTTCATATAGGGAGCTCCAGGGGGTGTGACTGGAGTGATCTTTACCTAAAGAAAATAAAGCACATTAACAAATCAGCAATTGTTTAAAAGGAATGTGATTTTCTTACTCTTTTCCAATGATTTTTTCTATCCAAATTAGATTTCACATTCCCATTTTTGCTGTTATCTGGGGAGATATCACCCAGCTACAGACATTCATTTTTTTTCTGATAAATGACCTGCCCATGATCAGTGCCTATTCTTTCTGAAATATCTTCCATTTTTTTTTCCTAAAACCAATTTCACACATTCTTCCAAAAACTTTGTTTCAGACACAGATCATTTCCATTCTCCCAAGTTCCCAACCCATGGACATTACTATGAATGTCTAAGATGCCAGATACACTTCAGATACAGAAACTATTTTCATTGGCAAAAGTAACTCACCTGTATGGACTGCACAATGGTGCCATTAACTGGAACCTGGAGAAACCAAACAAGAAGAAAGAAAAAAAAAGTTTTTGGGGGTTTGTGTGTACACACAGCCAGAAGGCTAAGCAGAGTCTATATACTACATTAACAAAAAATACTTTGTTTATTCCAAATGTATGGAACCTGCAATCAATTTGTGAATTAGAATTCACAAACATACTTCAGAGAAAGCATTTCTAGAACTAGAAAATACATCTTTTATTCTTGGTCCTGCTAATAACCTGCTGTATGATTTTGAAATATCAGCATCTCTAGTCCATTTCTGGAGCTCCCCCTTCTGGAATCAAATAATTTCTTCAGCTTTCATTAGAAAAAAAGTAAGGTTTTTGCTTCAGTGGCAAAGCAAGCCCTGAAAACGAGTTACATTCTCTCACTGCATACTAATATGATCACAGACATTCTCTGATTTTTCAGAGAATATATCGCATCAAACAAACCCTTCTTCTTTCCCTAAAAATACCTACTGTTTGGCTGATAAAATAGAACATATTAAAAATACTTAAACTTTGATAAAACAGTGTCTAAAATGCGAGAGAGTGCCCTTTAAATTATTAAATATATAAAACATCAAAAATAAGCAAATGTGATGTTGAGCAAAAGGAAGAAAAAAACCCCAGACATTCACCTTTAGCACTGTGAAATCACGGTAGTAAGAGGCCGCATCCAGGGCAGGGTCGGTGATGCAGCTATTGCTCAAGTTGGCAAAAATCCGAGTACAGCTTGTGCTTTTACTGTCCAGAAAACCTGAGTTAGGAGATGACAACAGTTAGGAGAAAACAGAGGCAAAACATCCTAGCAAAAATTGCTTCCGTCTTTACTAACCAGCAGGATTTCCATCAACACAAAGTCCACTGGTTCCCATCCTGATGGGCTGTCTAAGAGTGCTCAGTACAGACGAAGAGTCAAAGTAGGTTAAGATTGGATCACCAGCCTGAAAAAATAATCTGGAGAAATTTCAGACAAAGTAACTCTGGAAAACTAAGGCCAAATGCAAGATGAATCCTCAGGGCAGAAAGACAGATTTATATATTTCCTTTATGTACAGCCAGTTTTGTCTTAAGGGTTGTCCAAAGTTTAATACACAATCTAACTAATCAGAAACTCTCTTTGTACTGCAAGAAAGGAACAGAAGGACTATAGAGTAGAAAACTCAGGCATGAAGACTCTTTCAATTTCTTCTCATGAAATTTCACTACAAATGGCTTGTAGCAAAAGCATATTTTAAAACTGATTGCTACTGTATTTCTACTCACCCGGTAAAAGGCAGAGAAGGCTGGCTGTGCTTGTGATAGTGTTAAGAATGAGTGCCCACCATACTTTTCCATGAACTTCGGAAAGTCAGATTCTTTGATAAGCTGTGGCTGTTGGAAATAGTTCTGGTTTGCTAAAGTAGAAATGAAAAAAAAATATCCACCAACATCAAGTTATTAGAAAAGGTATTTCTAAGTAAATATTGTGCCAATACTTTTAAAAGGGAAAACTTGGGTAATTTTAAGCTCTGTGGCGCCCTATATTAATTAATCCTTAGTAATGTTGTTAAAAGACTAATGAGAACTAAAAGCAGAATGATGTCATGAGCACTTGCCTACATTGTTTCATAGGAAATGGGCATTAAGCCAATGTGACCTTCCAATAGCTCTAAAACTGCTGAAGGTACCTGTCTTAATTCATGCTCTAATTTCCGTAAGACACTTGAGTTAGACTCCTATGGCATTTTAATGACAAAACATTACCAATATGTGAATTCAGTAATTAAATGTATATGAAAATGACAGGTTTTCTACTGGTATCTCACAGTAATCATTTCCTGATCCAGTGATATTTAATATTGTTATTAGTGTTACAAACTATTAAATTATTACTGCTAAAACACAGTCATAAAATGGCAGATGGTTAATGACAAATTATATAGACTCATCCATCTTACATCTGCATTCAAGGATTACAAGTCATATTGACAACAGAAGCAAGTAGCAATATTCTCAGCTACAGCAGTGCCATAAAGAATTTATGTAGATTTTAGCAGATTTATGGAGACACTAGTATATTTAAAGAGAGCAACAGAAGGATGAATTACATCTCAGTGTAATTCTGCTGTTAGGAAGGCAAAGTAGAACCTTGGATGTACTTGCATAAAGTCGCAAGCAGAAGTAATAGCTTTCTTGTATCTAATTGCAGCATTGGTCAAACTGTCAACTAAATCATTTAGAAGCTAATGTCTTAAAGAGTATTAAGTCCTCCCAAGTCGCACAATAATAGACGTGTAGAAAAGTTTTCTTATTTTACACTTAAGGGCATAATCCTTAGATGTAAATAGATACACAGGACCTTTTATACCACCTGCATGTCTTTGGCTTTATCTAAAAACACAGTGATAAATTCTCCTCTTTGCTCGACAGCAGAAATGATGAACAAAGCAGATTTCTTTTAAGAAATCCTACAAGCATTCAAAAGACCAAAGTGCCGTGTTGTCTTTCCATGGACAAGATCTACGTGATGTGCTGCATCCTGATTAGAGGCCTGTTCGATGCTGCACAACTTGGAAGTTTCCAGCATCTGAAGGGATGTAAGATTATCTATACAGACCCTCTTTTTCCTTATAGTGTTAAATCCAATAAACAGTATTTTAAGTGATGATTTACAGAGACTGAGCACCTTTTTATTGGCATCATAATGAATCAGCACCTCCTGGGGCAAAACAGTACGTCTTTAGTTTCGGTGTCTGATCCCATTTGCCACCTTCTGGGATGTCCTCTGGGGCAAGAGTGATTATGTATCCAGCAGTGGCAACTCATGTCACCAACCATGTTAGAAAGCCTTCTCTCAGTCATCTGATGGGAGCATTTCTATTTGTATGCTTCCTTGGGGGATGACCAAAGACAACAAAATGCTCCTACCAGATGACTATCATCCTTAAGTTGATCTCAGACAATCTTTCTGAGACATTCTTCTGACCACAGAAGAAAGGCTGAGAGCACTGAACTTATCGCGGTGAACTTATTGCACGGTGCGGTGGATCGAGGGCTGGCTGGATGGCAGAGCTCAGAGGGTGGTGATAAATGGGGCCGAGTTCAGTTGGAGGCCTGTGGCCAGTGGTGTCCCCCAGGGGTCAGTGCTGGGCCCAGTGCTGTTCAACTTGTTTATCAATGACCTGGACGAGGGCACGGAATGCACCCTTAGCAAGTTTGCAGATGACACCAAGCTGGGTGGAGTGGCCGACACGCCGGAGGGCTGTGCTGCCATCCAGAGGGACCTGGACAGGCTGGAGAGTTGGGCAGAGAGGAACCTCATGAGGTTCAATAAGGACAAGTGCAGGGTCCTGCTCCTGGGGAGGAATAACCCCAGGCATCAGTACAGATTAGGGGTCGACCTGCTGGAAAGCACCTCCACGGAGAGGGACCTGGGAGTCCTGGTTGACACCAAGTTAACCATGAGTGAGCAGTGTGCCCTCGTGGCCAAGAAGGCCAATGGGATCCTGGCCTGCATCAGGAGGAGTGTTGCCAGCAGGTCCAGGGAGGTGATTCTGCCCCTCTACTCAGCTCTGGTGAGGCCGCACCTGGAGTATTGTGTGCAGTTCTGGGTACCCCAGTATAAGAGGGACGTGGAGCTTCTGGAGAGGGTCCAGAGAAGGGCAACCAGGATGATTAAGGGAATGGAACATCTCTCGTATGAAGAGAGGCTGGGTGAGCTGGGCCTGTTTTCTCTGGAGAAGAGACGGCTCAGAGGGGATATGATTAATATGTATAAGTTCAGGAAGGGAGAATGCAGGGAGGAAGGGGACAGGCTGTTTTCACTGGTGGCCAGCGATAGGACGAGGGGTAATGGCCACAAGCTGAAGCACAGGAAGTTCCGTCTCCAGGTGAGGAGCAACTTCTTTACTGTTAGGGTGACAGAGCAGTGGAACAGGCTGCCCAGGGAGGTTGTGGAGTCTCCTACTCTGGAGGTCTTCAAAACCCGCCTGGATGCCACCCTGTGCCACATGCTGTAGGTGTGCCTGCTTGAGCAGGAAGGTTGGACTAGATGATCTGTAGAGGTCCCTTCCAACCTTAAATATTCTGTGAATCTGTGAATCATCAAAACTCTTCCCTCTTAGACCTACTGAAAACTGAAACGGGTAAAATTCTATCATTTCTGCCTGTCACACTACACGCCTCATTTCTTTGTTATTCCCTGTATTTAAAACGTTTGAGTAACAACAGTGAAGAACTGACCGCAGTACCAGATAACAGGAAACTACACCTGCTTTGAGCAGGAGTTGGGCCAGGTGACCGATAATCTCCACACCTAAATTATTCTATGGTTTCATGATACGGCTCAGGGGTAGATGAGACTATGAGTCTAAAATCCTAGACAAAAGATGCAGAAAACAGTATGTGTTTAAACAAGAGACTCTAATGAGTCACAAGAAATGTCAAAGAGTAAGTTGCTACTGTATATATGGTAAAATAAGGTATGTCTGATACTGAAGCATTTGATAAAAGCTGATTTTTGTCTAGTCTGAGAGAGCTTAAATTGAGTGCAAAGATCATCTTTTGTCCATGTTTGGTGGCAGAATCCTCATTCACTATGGTCTCTCAGGGACTACAGTAGCCAAGATAGCTAGTAAGAAGCATGACATATGACATACACTGTGAAAGGAGATTTCCTGAGCAGAGGCTCTCTGCGAGTTCCCCGCACAAAGAGCAAGGTCACTTACGGTCACTGGGCTGCACGCAGAACAGCAGCTCTTGTCCTCCAGGAGCAGCGATGATGGTGGTGGGATATGGGGTGTTAGCTCTGAATAAGATGGACTTTTCCACACACACTTGACCGACAGACCTGCACCTCCAGCCCAAGCACACTGTTAATGAGGCTGTTCTTGCACAATTTCACATCATCACAAGCATTTGGTTTCATACTACCATAAGCCCACAAAAAATTACAGTATTACAACAGCCCACATGCTAATATGCGCGAATATAGGCTATTCAACAATTGCCTTATCAGTTACAGAGAGCCACTCTCTCCACTGGGGTATTTTTTAAAGTACTGTCTGTTCGCATATTTAAAAATCACTCAGAATTTCCGAGAGCAAAGACAGAAGGGACCTTCAGAGCCCACATATTAGAGCTCCCCTTGGTCCTTTCCACAGGGCCAGTGATTTGCAAGGAGAGATCTGTGAGTTTTACTCTCCAAGCAGCTGAAACTGTTTTACTTCCTGCCAGCATTTCTCAGGCTACCCTTGCTTTACAGTCTCCAGTTACACCTCAAAGTTTTGTTTTGCTTTCAAAGGAGGGCTTCCAAGTTCCCTCCCCTAGGCCTCAGCACCAACTGACCAAGCCCCATTTCACCAGAACTTCACAATCCTGCCCGCCTGGACGCCTTTCCGAGCAGCTGTGCGAACTCTGAGAGACCTCATCGACCGCTTCTAAACTCGCGCCCGCCTGCACCTGCTGCCGCCGCCGAGGCTGGACGAAGCGGTGGCCCCGGGGTCGCGCAGACCGCAGGGGCCGCGCGGCGGGTGCCCGCGGCGGCTCCAGGCGGGCCCAGGCTCAGCAGGGGCGCTGCCGACGGCCACGCGCGCCACGAGCAGGGCCACGAGCAGCCCCCGAGCTCCGCTCATGGCAACACTCACGGCGTCACCGTGTCGCTAAGGGACATGGCTTCTGCCCTCTGCCCGCGCCGGTCGGCGCGGTGCGACGCGGCGCATGCGTAGCTGCCGCCTGCGTGCAGGGGGCGGGGCTGTCCTGTCCCGCCGTGCCCGGCTGTGGCGCGCGGGGCGCGTGAGGCGGCCGGGTGGGTTGGTGTTACTTGTGGGGCTCGTTCTAGCTGTTCCTTACAACAGCTTCCGGATAAACACCCTCTCCTCCAGCTTTGAGTGTGAGCGACGAGGTTACTCTATGCTGGCATACATTAAGAAAAAAAATGTAATAAATGTTCCTTAAGGCCTGTACTCCTTTATATTTCACTGTTGCTCAGGTTAATTTCCTTTCAAATTATATCCAAGTAAATTCAAACAGCTGTTTTTAACTTGTTATTTTTAGTTATTTTAAGTTAGTGACTGATCAGGTAGTTGGCGTGTATGTCCTTTCCTTTATAAATCTGATATTCATGGTACAAACCTCCCCTCTTTGAAAAAGCCTGGATGTGTGAATGCTTGCAAAGCACATCAGTTACCTTGTGCTTTAGAAGACTGTGAGTACTGTTAAGCCTGAATTTTTCAGTAGGATGTCTTTATTTGACATAAAGTCAATTTAAATTTATCTTTTTCTTTCACTATGCATAAACCTAATCCTTTTGCTAGATGTGCATTCTCATAAGTAAAATAAATGTGTTTTCTCTAATTCTAAATTCTAAAACAAGTGAATGCATTTTCTGTAATTTGGAACTGTATTAGGTCTTGGTTGAGTAGCCCTTTTACATAGAACACATTAAATAAGACAAAGAATCGTGGCTACATACAAAGACTACTCACCCTTCCTGCTGTATATGTGTAGATTTCTGATAGATGATTTTATGGAAGATGATTTAATGTATTTGCTTACTAAAGGTCTCAGGTTTTCATTTACACTGAGATTGTCATTTTTTCAGTTGTGTTTATAATTTAGATCTCGAGTCATGTTAAATTACATAAAATATTTTTCTGCAACTTGCAACTGCAAATCTGTGCAGTTGGTATACCTTGTATTTCATAGAATGAACTTGAAAGCAGACCTACAAGTTTGCTACTAATTTGTTGTTTTGAATTTTTAGTGTTAACAAGAAGAAAATATTTTTTAAAACAGCTTTTTTTGCAGAACCATAAGTCTAATTTTGGGGGGAAAAAAGCCCTCCCATTATTCTTTATGAAGGTTTTCTGACACAAGACGATCTTCCCTATAGTCCGGAGTAATCATAGGAACAGGTAAACAAGAAACGAGGATGATTATATCTAGAAAGTGGTGTGCTTCTTGTTGATGTTTTAGGAAAATGTACATGCTTCTTAGAATTATCTTTCTCTGGTAAACCTGTTTTCAGTTCTGTTTCTTCTATTTAAAATCTAGACTCCTAACATAGTTGTTACTTTCTTTATTTTCGTGAGCATCTATTACAGAATTAAGAGATCTTTATATTTGCAATTGTGTCACAACCCATGTGACCATGCGGTACAGTTTGCATTATGTAGGAATAAGTGGTTTTTAATTAATTTGGGGGATAATTCAATCTCCTCTCACAGACATTTCATGATGACGAATAAATTCTCTGAGATGGTCATGCAACAATGAGGACATTTTGGCTATTCCAGTTCAGAAACACTTGCTTTATTTCCATGTATCCACATACATATGAGCAAGACAATTTATTAATTTGGCAGGCTCTGAGGACAGGAGTTGCTAGGGGAATGGGCAGAGAAGAATCAGGAGCCCACAGCTGAACTATTTGCAGGTGCTATAGGTATACTGCATGTGTTTGTAGTGTTTCCAAAGCTTCATAAAGTGAAGGATCTTTTACTGCACAAACAGAATATCTGATTTATTTAGTAGGGAGGCCTCTTACCTTAAATGTTAGGTGGGTCTTGCTGTACTTTGTTTTATCGTTTTTCACCCTCCTGGCCTCTCCATTTTTCTTTCAGTTAAGGTGGCAGTGAGACCCTTCTGTGGTGCCTCGTCAGCTGTGGTGCGTTTTGGAGCAGTGTCCTCTCCTCCTGCACCACTGCAGCCTTGCTGCTGTCCACGTTCACTTTAGTTCCCACTATGAGGGGCTTGGGCTTGGAAGCTGCATCTGTGTACGTAAGTGTTGGTGCTGTCTTTGTGCCTGCAGTGTTTTCCACACAGAAGCTAGCGTATCCTTGTGGTTGTGTGGAAATCCTGATGGCTGAAATGATTCATTTTGTACAGCTTGATGAGGTCAGGAAACCTCTAGGTGTGGGGTTTTTACTTGTTTTTTGAGTGCTATATCTCTTTCCTGGACTGTTGTTTTCCGGACGATTTTTATCGTAGAGACACACTTGGCTGACATAGTGTGAAGTGTGCAGTGATGGGGATGACAAAACCCCCAAGGTCTCCAAAGGCAGCCACACACGCCTGAGGGCTGATGGGACCCGAACACCTTTGGTGCTTTGCTGCGGTTCACTCCAGAGCCGCAGGCGCCTTATTTCAGAAAACTTTACGGTATGTCCAGTTTGCAGTATTGCTGCTCATGGCATTTTCGGCCTTGCTCTGCCCGTCTGTCTCGCTGCCGCCCATCGCCACCAGAGGCCGCTTCTCGCTGTACGGGTGAGGCGGTGCCGCGACCGCGCAGGCGCCTCTGGGCCCCGTTGCCAGGAGACGAGAGGCGCGGCGGGCCTGCGGGTTCCGGGTGGCAACGGCCGCTCGGGCCCGGCCCGGCGCTCCGGGCCATCGGTGCAGGCGCGCCGAGACCTGCCCGGCCGCAGCGCTCCTGCCCGGCCGCATCCCTCTTGGCTTGGCTGCAGCTCCCTAGCCCCGTCACAGGCCGTGCCGCGCGGGGAGAGGGTGGGGGCAGGAGGAAGGGGGAGAAGGAATGGACGTGGCCATCAGGGAGCGCCTGTTTGCAGCGGAGAGTCAGCAAGGTGATGGCGTGTGGGATGTGCTTGTTTGTCCACATTAGTGATTTAAAACTGTGTGCCAAGACACTCATTAATGCTTCATCTTAGAAATATGATAAACTTTGAATAACACGTGTTTAGCTATTTTTTCCCTTAACATTCAATTTCTTTTCTTAAAAGTATGCTATGTAGTTGAAAATGATGCAATGCAGTCAAACATCTTTCAGTCTGCCTTGAAACAAATCATTTGCTCCGTTCTATAATCTTCCTGTTTCAGATGTTGAAGCTTTGAGGACTGCTTACGAATTGATCAAATCAGCCAGTCTCGGGAATTCTGCCCTCGGCTCCTTGGAGAACTTCAGCACTGACCTCTACGTCCTGTGCGCCGAACAAGCGCTCCGGGTAGCCTCCCTTTGTAGTTTAGGCAGTTTGTGTGACTTAGAGTGTAACTGCAGTAGTATAAGTCATTACTTGGGGATATTGCTGGAAGGACCGGGGAAAAATATTTCAGTGTTATGTCCTTGCAGAGAAATTGTTTAAATATGCGTTTTCAGTAAATTCTCAAGTGCTTCCCAAAGTCATCACTTCTTTAGAATCGATTAGTGAACTGTGGTTTGTGAAATTTTTAGTTAGGAACTATTGCAACATTGAATAGTTTGTCATATCTTGTACCGTTAGCAATTTAGTTATGTTTGGCAGATTTTCTTTAATGGATGGTCCCTACTGTGTCCTAGAAAGACAAGCTAGCATTCTAATTATGCAAAAGTGTTGGTAATTGAGTTTACTTCTATAAAAAGTAATAAAAGTTTCTAATTTTGAAATATTTATTAATCTTCAGGCCATAGGTACAAGGCATTGGAGTTCAAGCAGACTGATCTTCGATAGCTTCAGCTAACAACAGAACTAGCTGCAAGACACTCAAATTCTATCTGTTGCCTGGAAATTAAGATGTTGAACTGTCATCTGCACAAAATCTATATATATATATCTATAGATATAGATCCTATAGATCCTTCATAAAAAAAAACTCTGCTAAGAACTTTACCTGTATATAAACAATTCTCTTAATGACTATTAAAAGGGAAAGCTTTCTGTGTGCTCTTAAGAGATTCTATGAGTAACTCAGGAGTTAAATAAAGGCATTTCACTATATATTTGGAATGAAGAAAGTCTGATTTTAGATTAATACTTAATAGATCAGAATAGTTTTGTACCATATCTGGTGTACTGCTTAATACTAAACTGTCTATGTATGAATATGCTGATATATGTTACACTGTTTGAGTAGGCGTGCATTTTTAAGAACTTACAGTTCTTGCTTCCTTATTTGTAGCATTTTAATATTTTCCTTTTTTTTTTTTTTTTTTGTCTTAGCTGGGATCTCTGGAAATGAGCCATGACTGTCTACAGATGTATTTTAAAGGAAGATTTCCTATTAACCAATTTATTGCCAGAGCATACTTGTGCCAAGGCCAGTTGCACACTCCACTCTCTACTGATAATTTGGTGAGTAATTATGAAAGTTACATTATGTTAAAGTTGATTAAAATATTCATGGATATACATATCTATATCTATAGATATATATATATAGATATAGATTGCAGCACTTTAGAATATACCAGAGTAGGAAAAGTCAAATTAAAGTATGTTAATAGTTATTTTGGTTGTATGCAAAACTGTCAACTGAATAGTACTATATTGCAGATACTTGGGAAAAATGCATGGAAAATTTTTCAGAAGGCTGATTGTTTCAAAGTCAGTCTTTTATGTCAGTACATTTTGCAGAAAAGCAAATACAAAATCTTTGATTTGAAATCACACTAAATGGACTGGTTTTGTTCTCAACCATGATCTCTCTCAGTCAGTTACAGTCGTCTTGAATGCTTCTGCTCTTTCCTATCATACTTTCTGCTCTTAATATCCAATTCATTTTGCTGGTAATCCTTGCTATTATCCAACTCTTCAAGCTCTTAATTTCTACTTTCTTCACTTTTCCGCTGTCCTACCTGATCACTTTCTATAGTCAGGTCCTTTTATTAATGCTGACTGAGAGAGAAGCTATAGAGTACTTTGTGTCCTAGTAGAAAGAGGTTCTAAACAGCCTTTTGTAATTATAGAAAGGGGCTTAGTCAGTCTAAGCAGGAACCTGCTCAATATTGATAGAAATGTCAAGGAATTTCATGGCTAGAATTCAAGAAGTCATTGCGAACATAGATGAATCACAAAAGACTTAGCAATCACCAAATCTCAGGGTTTTTTTTTTTTTTTTTTTTTTTTTTTTTCTGGGAAATGCCAAAAGCATAATGCCTGACACACCATTTACTTGGCAAATTTTAGTGAGGAGGGCATGTTGCAGCATTTACAGAGAAAATAATACTTGAAGTATTTTTAACATGACAAACCAGTATTTTTCCTGACTTTGATTTTAGAAGTATTTAAGCTTTCCTTGCTAAAGCTTTTCCTTGCTAAAAAAAAAAAAAAATTTTTTTTGGCTTTGTGTTGTTGGACAATTTCAGTCCCAAAGATAAAATTTTGGCAGAAATTAAAGACACTGAAAATACAGTCTTAAACATTGAAATCAGGCAAGCATGCTAGTAGGGATATTAGGAGTTCTGATTATGCCCACAAGTTTTATTAGAGAATGATGTGAAAATAAAATGAGATATGAACATGCTGGAATATGAAAATAATATAGTGGTGATTTATGAAGGTGATATAAAAATTGCCTCAACGATTTTTCTTCTGCTTTAGGAAGAGTTTGAAAAATTTGTGATGTTCTTTTTGAAAGCAATAGACTTTGCAATGCATGATCCAAGGTGAGCCTTATTGATTGGATTTACCATTTAAATCTGAGGAAATGTTACAAAGTTATGTTTTCATAGTTAGTTATCCCTCATATTTTAACTAAGTAGCTTTTTGGGGGAAGGTGGGTTTGAGGATTCTCCTTCCAGTTTGTTGCTGCACCTCTGTAACTGCTATGCTGCAACAGTGTAAGAATGCTGGAATGATATTTGAGAGATGGAACAAACTGTTAATGTTTAAGCCTGGAAAACATCTGTATTTCAGCATTTCTTCTCATTATGCTCTTCTATTTTTCTATTATATTTATGTTCTAGAGAAGAACAGTACCGTGTTTGCTTCTTAGTTAATAAATGCATGAAGTGTAGTCTTAAGAATTGTCTTACTGTTCTTTAGTACATATGCTCTCAATTCTGAGTCAGGACTAGTTCTTATCTAAACGTAAGAAACTTCATTTCTATAAGTGTCTTATTGTTGTTTTTCAGATATTATTTTTTGATATATAATGCCTCAGTCCTTTACTGGGAAGCTGTGAGACCATATCTTAAGCCTGGATTCCGTTATTGCCTTATTCCCAGCCTAACACAGATTGTTAAAGCACTAAACCAAACTGAAGAGCAAGACAAAGAGTGGATAGCAGAACTCATGATGCAAGTATAGTTCTGATTTTTGTTTTTTGTTTTCCTGTGAATATTCTGCAGTCCTTCTGTGTATGTGATTGTCACCAGAAATAGTTTTCAATAATGTATTTTTCATTGCTAGCATTTAAATATTTTTATTATAGGATTTTTCATTTATAATTTTTGAAAGATAGCTAAATGTGCACATAGGATAAAAGATGTTACGTGTTAATGTTTACTTTGAGATTAAAATGCTAATAGCAAGGGCATTCAGACTTCAGGTCCCATCTGAAGAATATATTTTTTTACATTAAATTAAAGGCTGTTCCTTCCAGTTTGAATAGCCAATTTAGCTTGGCTTGACATGAAATATGCCTTCTTTTAACTAGTCATGTTAAAAATAACAGTCCGGAAGATAAGAGAAGTAACTTGCATAAACAAGGCTAGTGAGACCTTAACCAATAGATTTTTATTATTCAAGATTCAACTATTATTCAACTTCCAAATAAGGGTGGATTCAGAAAACACATTTTTAGTATTATGCAAAAAAACTTGAATTTAGAAGTCTAATAATCCTTACTTATATAGTACTGGGGAAAAGATTACTAATCTAGAATCTAATAAAAATGCCTTACTTCCATGTTTTCATCTATGTTATACGTAAGAAATATCTAGGATTTTCTGCATACTTTTTCTGTTCAGACTTGTGTAAGTCTGACTGACCGCTGACTTGTGTAAGTCATGTTTTTGTCCAGTTTATTTTATGAACTAAGTTTAAGAAATATAAATGAGTTAAGTGATGAATATTTTGACTGAGCTTAAAGTGAAGTTATGCTATGGAAATCTGGATCGATAATAAATAAGATTTATAGTAACATAGACTAATATAATCCACACTATCTATGGTAGCTGTTCAGTGAAGTTCAGTTAAAGAAATCACAATCCTCCACAACCTCATTATCCACAACCTCCAAAAAAATGCAAGAAAAGCTCTGGTAGATTTAAAAAAAAGTTGACCAGAAAATCGTTGATAATTTGAATCTTGAATATATTGAACCTCTTTACAAAATATGAGTAAAGCTTTTTTTTTTAGGTAATATGAAAGCCATAAATATTCAGTACAAATATTTTATTTGATCTACAGAAATTTACTTGAGTGCTTTCTTGATGCTTCGAAGATGGAAGAAGCAGAAGAATTTTCGTCTACTGCAGCAGTCTTTATTAAAGAAAATGCTCCAGATAAATACTCACAAATATTTTCTCTAATGGTAATGCTATAAAATATAATTTAAGAATATCCTAAAACCAGAAACTTTATCACATTTTAGATCATTTTAGTTATTACATATTTTGATTCCTCTGTTCAAATGCTGTAACTACCAAACGATACAGTAGATACGTTTATATTTGTAGAGCATTTATATTTTTGATATTGTAAGCTAAGGAGCTCCCAACTGCAGTGTGAGGATGCTCTATGTTATTTATTCCACTATAACATATGATTATAGAAATGACTACTGATATCTCTAAAAATACTGTTTGGATATAGTTAACACAGTAGGTATAACAGATGTAATTTATATGCATTCTAAATCTATATGTGTCTAAAGTGTTCTGAAAATCACAGCAGGGCATACTAGTTCACGAGTCTTGTGTGCCCTTAGTTTGGCAAATAAGAGGGTGAGGGTGAACATGAAAAGCAGAAATAGGAGAATCCATTATGTTAGATAAGATTTGGGAATTATGTGCAGTCATATTCCTTTCCCTGCTTCACTCTCTGTTGCTCTATTTCTCTACATTTCTGATTATTTCAAAATAATGTGTGTTTCAAAAATGTTTTTTTCTGACATTGGAATCAAGAGAACCTCCAGAGATGCAATAATAATGAAGCAATAACATTTGAGCTAAGTCAGAACTACTTTTGTAGTGTTTATAAGTGCTGTTGAACTGAGCTGCCAAACAGTGGCCTTAAACAGAAAAATAAGGTGCTTCTAAAATTGCAGTGGGGCTGTATATCCCAGCAAGGCTGTAGAAGTGAGATCTATCCAGTTGAGTTCTATAGTTGTGACATACTTAAGTTGGGTAAATAACATACTGTTCCATTACAGCTTAAGTAACATATGTTGGGGAAAGGTACTTTGTAGAGGATACACAGAGTCCAAGGAAGAATATTTGGGGAAGAAGAAGGGAAATCATGCAGGGAATGTACATATCTAAATATAATTTTTAAATGATATTTGGGATATGTAGATTCTCAGCCTTCCTCAAAGTCTAGATGCAGTAAAAGGCAAAACAATTCACTAGATTAGTCTTACAGGCTTTTTCCCCATAAGGACAGCCTGAACAGGCACAATCCTACTGCCATCTTTGTTAGACTGTGGAAGGTGATTGTTATGGCTGTCGATACAAGCCAAAATAAAAGATAGTCGTGCATATATTTGATATGTAACTGTAAAGTTAAATAGATGTAACTACTATTTATTATATATTTTATTTATATTATAAAATATAATTATAAAATATAATTTTACATATGTAAATGTACAACATATAAAATATTAAAAATATATTATTAAATATGTATATTTTTCCCATTTAATTTATAGTTGGGACTAAATTTCATATATCTGGATGAGATGACCTCAAAATGAGTACTATTCTAAAATGTGATTGAAGGTGCATTAGTTAGTTTGAAATCACATGCTAGTTTCCCATTGAGATTTCTGTTAATAATTCTGATCCTCAGTTTGTGCAAATTAGTATAGCTCTACTTGTTAATGTTCTTTGTGGGATATATGCAGAGCAGCACAGGCTATCGTAGCAGTTTTAGTGTTCTAAAGTCCGTAAAAACCTCAAACTTGCTTTATTTTATCCCTATTGCATGTCTTTCCTTTGTAGTTTTATTTAGCATATTAATAATTATTATTTTATAGGTATATCACCAACTAATGGATATATCCCAGGTAGAGAAGGAGATACAAACTTCTATCTATTTGTCTATTATTTATAAAATGCAAATGATAAAATTGTAAGTATTTAAATCTATTTAAATCTTTCCTTTTACTTGAATTTTGGTACTTGTTGCTACAAATGTAGGGTTAGCTTCTAGTGTGTCTTTGTCACATTGTGTCCATGAAATTACAGTTCAGTACACCAGAACGAGCCACAAGGTTGTGACACACATAATCCTTTTTAAAAATTATAAATTTTAAAAATGTGAAGTAATTAGGCAAATTAGACTTCAAAATGAAATTCTCTCTTTGTTTTATCAGTCTCAACACCTCCTCTTTCTAAAGCACTAATTCTATTTTGTAAAAGTGAATTTATGTTGATATTAGAAGAAAGCAGTTCAGCACATCTTTTTCCTTGTTTTTTTTTTTTTTTTTAATTAAAATGTACCACATTAAATATTAATTCTTATTCTGGAGTGTCCTTGGTTGCTGTCTCTCCATAGCTGAGGGGCTTATTCAGAATACTCTAAGCAGGTATTGCTGACTTTTTTTTTTTTTTTTTAATATATTTTATAATGCAGATATTCCACTTAAATAGTCTAAAAATCATCCATTGTAAAATTATGACTTTGTATCAAAAATATGAAATACAAAAAAAAAATACAATATGAAATACTGTCTTATGTAAAATTATGATCATTATCTAATATGTTGCAGGCAGTGGCACACAAATGACTTTCCAAATGACACCACCACAAATCTGAATTCTGTGTGTGAACTTATGAAACAATATGAGGCGTCTCCAGAATCTGATCTCAGTAAAAAGTGAGTTTCATTTGTCACAGCCCCCTGAAAGTTGAATTTTAACCTGCTTCTCCCTGTGTTGAAGTCATTGACAAAATTCCTGTTGACTTTGAAGAAAGTGAACTTTTTAAACTAGTTTGTATTTCATTAACATTTAGGCAATGTATAAAATGATGATAAGACTAAAGAGCCCCAGATTAAATACCTTGTTCTACATAATTTTACAACACTGTTCAATTTTTTCCTAACTTTGTAGATAAAAGGAAATTTCAAAAATTCTTAGATTCTAATCAGATAAATGTCTTTTAGACGTTAATTCTTTTTAGCCTCTTTGGGCTCTTTGCAGTTCTTCAGCATATTTTTCAAATGCAGGAAAAACTGATTTCTATATTCTACTAATTATATCAAAATTGTTTCTCATGAAAGTAATATTACATTTTTATGCAAGATCGATCCTCTCTGACTGTATCCAGATAACTTATTACTTCTCCTAGTGCAGACAATATGCTGTGTTTATTTGGTTATTTACTGACATTCTTAACATTTAGAACCTAGTCTCCTGTACGTGTGTTGCTAAGTCACTAAACAGTTGAGCATTATACCTTACTGTATTAAGATGTGTGTCAGTTGACGATATCGCATTTACAGAATTAACAGCACTTTAACTTTTGTTGGCTATTTCACTGTCCTTGTATTGAATATGTTTCGTTTTTTATTTAGCTTCATGTTCTTCAGAAACAGTTTTTCCAAAACTGTATTAAAGTCTACTAATTTTCCAAAAAAAGTTGTTTTTTTGTAATTGTCATTTAGCCATCTTAATTTTTAATCGATTATAATATAATATATAATATATATAATATATAATATATTATATGTTATAATATATAATACTATATATTATATATTATATAACAACATATATTACATTATACTGTAATATATAATATATGTAATATATAATAATATCACATTATTCATTGTGAACATTGTATTAAATCACATGCCCTCTGATATTCTGATCACTTCAAGGATCCCAAATATATTGCACTGATAAGTTATTTTCATATAGCACTTTTCTGTCAAAGAGCAATATCAGATTCATTTGAAGTGATGTTTTTCTATTTTTGAAGGATTCCTTTGGTTCTGGAATTGGCTCGTTTTTCTGTGAAAGCAAACAGCATCGAGCTTGCTTATGATTGTATACTTGATTTGAAGAGAGCTGGTATTACTGTAAGTATCAAAACTAGTGTTTAATTGTTCCATCGTATTATAACTTTAATAATAAGGATGATCGTTCTGGTATCTATTGTACATTTCTAAAATGATAATTGATTTATAATGGTTACTTGCATAAGAGATCTATTTGTAAACTTGAGAAAAGATGGTCAGAAAGTGGAGTACAAGCAGAGCAGAATAATTATCATTAAAGTAAGTTTTTGCAAGTAAATACTGATTCTGAGTTTCTGTCAGCATATTTTTAATTATCTTCTGTGGAATACTTTGAATGAAATTGGCTAGTGAGTGGGAATGGCTTGCAGCTTTTGAAGATTTAACAAGCCCACCCACTGAGATGGTAACCAATTAATAGGATGTAAGCTCTAAAAGACGTTCATGTTACGTGCATTCACTTGGTCTTTGTGAATACAAAATCATCCCTGAGAAACAGCATGTGAATCCTGATTTTGATGATAAGGAAAGAGATCATTTATGTGGACCATGATAGCTGGTGGATAGAGCATGAAAAATAGTCCCCAAGTTTCTACAAAGTCAGTGTTGCCACAGTTGATCCTTCACCGAAGAGAGTAAGCCAGAAGTGTGCCACAAATTGCGCTTCCTGATCTTCCATTTTTGTGGATTTATTCTGATAGTACATCTTCCTACACATTTCCTTTCTTTGCTTTTGTAGTAATGATTTCTTTTCCAGCAAGTTGTATTTAATTTGCTATTTTCTAACATTTCATAGGTTTTATCATTTTCTGTAATATTTATATTACAACATTAATTAGATGGGAGTTGTGTGGTCTCCCCTGTTAGTGGTCTTTGCTTGGTTGTTTCCTTCCTTCAGCTGGATATAAGCTTTTTTTTTTTTTCCTGTTCTTTCTTTGCTGAGAAGCAGAGCTATTGAGCATTGTATTCAAAGAACACCTAAGTTTTTCAGACATAAAAATGGATGAAAGAGGTAGTCTGCTGGAGTTGTGAGCCCTATGAGGGAGCTTTTATATGCCCAAAATGCACATACATGCAAATACTGTCAAATTTATCACTCTAGCTTTTTATAATAATGATTCCGCTTTCAATAACTTCAATAACTTTTATAGGTATTGCATATCCTTACTGAAACTTTCCATTCCACATGCCTACCTCAATCTCTCTTTTTTTTTTTTTGTTTTTTTCTCTCTGAAAAATTCTGCCAAATCTAAGATTACGCAATTCCATAGTATTAGGAAGGAATGTATTTTTAAATCCTCTAGATGAAGGATTTACAAGGGTTTAGTTTGCATGTTTGTATAGGCAGCAATAGCAAGTATCCCTTCTGTGGCAGCAGTAGGGGAGGTTTGATTCTGTTTCAGTATTCCAGTTCTTCGCCTTTTGCCAAATGCCGTCAGATTTTTGAGTCATAACATAGATTCTATCTATATATGCATACATAGTGTTGTCTTTTCATGACATTAGAAGTACTGCTTTCACTCAAGTTATACAGGATCTCATCTGTTCTCCATTCATAGAGAAATGGTAAAATGTCAAAGGTCTCACAGAATGATTGGATAACAGTTCCTAATGACTGATGACTGATGAATAGAGGTATTTTTTTTACTGCTCCATAGGAAGCTAACTGTAAAGTATCTGAGAAAATATATTCTTGTAATTTATATTATTTAATAGGTAGAGCTTTCCTGAAGTGTTAAAAACTCCACCTCTTTTTTTGCTTAGAAGTTACATGCTCAGTCAAAAGACTCTTTTCTGATTCAGATCGTTCTGGTATATTCCAATGGGGTATCTCTTTAATTATTCTGTTAAGGAATAATCTGCTGGAATGGAAATCAAATTATTGTATCATAGGGGAAGTCAGTTGTACATTGTTTTTCTTAACGCAAAGCTAGCGATGAACAACTTTAAAAAACCTAATAAAAATATTTTATATAAATACAATACAGTTTGCAACATTGACTTAATTAACATGACTAATTTTACTTTTCCAGTTAATAAGCTAATACAATGAGACTTTCAATTAGAAAGTAGAATTATGTTTTAGTATAATTGTTCGTATGGTTTTGGGTTGTATTATGTTCCTTTTCATTTATTAAAAATAGCATTTTGTGCATTAATGTTTCATAGGATCCAGGGAGACTTATAGAAATACAGTGCTTGGAATGTGAATATGAAGTCCAGAAACTTGGTGCTAAAATTATCACTTATACCAAAGGAGTTGTTGAGGTATGTTTTTTAACATTAACTTAGAAACATGTAAGTTTCTAAGTAATAGTCATAAATATAGTCATAATAATAGAAATAGTCATAAATAGAAATAGTCATAAATAGTAATAGTCATAAATATACGGAATAGTCATAAATATACGGAAGCTCCGGGACAGTGGACTAGACGAGTGCACGGTGCGGTGGATCGAGGGCTGGCTGGATGGCAAAGCTCAGAGGGTGGTGATAAATGGGGCCGAGTCCAGTTGGAGGCCTGTGGCCAGTGGTGTCCCCCAGGGGTCAGTGCTGGGCCCAGTGCTGTTCAACTTGTTTATCAATGACCTGGACGAGGGCACGGAATGCACCCTTAGCAAGTTTGCAGATGACACCAAGCTGGGTGGAGTGGCCGACACTCCGGAGGGCTGTGCTGCCATCCAGAGGGACCTGGACAGGCTGGAGAGTTGGGCAGAGAGGAACCTCATGAGGTTCAATAAGGACAAGTGCAGGGTCCTGCACCTGGGGAGGAATAACCCCAGGCATCAGTACAGATTAGGGGTCGACCTGCTGGAAAGCACCTCCACGGAGAGGGACCTGGGAGTCCTGGTTGACACCAAGTTAACCATGAGTGAGCAGTGTGCCCTCGTGGCCAAGAAGGCCAATGGGATCCTGGCCTGCATCAGGAGGAGTGTTGCCAGCAGGTCAAGGGAGGTGATTCTGCCCCTCTACTCAGCTCTGGTGAGGCCGCACCTGGAGTACTGTGTTCAGTTCTGGGTACCCCAGTATAAGAGGGACGTGGAGCTTCTGGAGAGGGTCCAGAGAAGGGCAACCAGGATGATTAAGGGAATGGAACATCTCTCGTATGAAGAGAGGCTGAGTGAGCTGGGCCTGTTTTCTCTGGAGAAGAGACGGCTCAGAGGGGATATGATTAATATGTATAAGTTCAGGAAGGGAGAATGCAGGGAGGAAGGGGACAAGCTGTTTTCACTGGTGGCCAGCGATAGGACGAGGGGTAATGGCCACAAGCTGAAGCACAAGAAGTTCCGTCTCCAGGTGAGGAGCAACTTCTTTACTGTTAGGGTGACAGAGCAGTGGAACAGGCTGCCCAGGGAGGTTGTGGAGTCTCCTACTCTGGAGGTCTTCAAAACCCGCCTGGATGCCACCCTGTGCCACATGCTGTAGGTGTGCCTGCTTGAGCAGGAAGGTTGGACTAGATGATCTGTAGAGGTCCCTTCCAACCTTAAATATTCTGTGAATCTGTGAATCTGTGGATAGACACCTTCATCAAGCACTTTATAACAGCTAGTAGAGATACCTATCATTTCTAAAGCAGAAACTGAATGTGCCACATGGAAATGAATAGTGTTAGTGCATGAAGTTACTCTTCTGTATGAGTGTTCTTTCGGATCTTTTGGATGCAGAAAGACTGGTCACTTTTTGTATTTTCCTATTTTGTATTTTTATATTCTCATTCATTCTTCAGATTGTGAAAGAGTACTAATACACTTAGATAAAATATAGGACCTTTAAGTATTTCTAAGTATTTCTTCATGGTATATGCAGCTGTTTTTTGTTTATTTATTGTGTGTCTTTTATTAAGAATGTAATTATTAGAGTCTGCTAATAAAAATAAGGATTTGCTTTCAAATTTCATAGCAAAGGAGTTTAATTGACTGTGTCAAAATCCATTCATACTATTTTCCCATCTCCTACGCTTTATTTGTTGCTTAACACCTAAAAGACAGTCAAAGACCTCTAAATTTGTGAATAGTTCACAATTACCAATTTCCTTTTATCATTAAAGAAGAGGGAATAGGTGACAGGCCTCTGTCTGAAACACACAGGAGCAGCATGGAGTACATAAAAAAAAAAAAAAATAAAAAAAAAAAATAAAAATCCTTAATTATCAGTGCGTAAGACTTAAAACAAGTGATCAAGCAAACTAAAGCGTGACGTAGATATATACTTGCTCTTTGGCAGAGGCTCAGGAATCTGCAGGCTGAGCGGTGGCTTTCTGTTGAAAACAGCCCAAAGATTATTTGAAGGACCATGTAAGAAGTCATATTTATTAAATGTTAATTAATTTTTTTCCCTTGCATAGGCTCAGCTGAAGTCAATTAAAACACTTGAGTTAATCTTGCTACAAGCAATTCGATTAGGAGATCCCAATGTAATCCAGGTTGTCTGTGCTACACAGTGGAATCTGTGCTTGCCGCTGCTGCAGCACAATTTGCAGCAACATGTGCGAAAGCCACTGCAGTCGGTTGCCGATGTCCTAGAACAGATTGACAGGTAACCCTCTATGCTACACTTTCTTTTTTTTTTTTTCCTGATACTTTGAAAGATGTAATGACTGAAAGAAAATACGGACCTGGATAATGGGCTAAGCCCTTTAAACACATTATCAAATTCATTTTAAAGCACAAGCTGTGTGATATTAATTGTCCAAAAATGTTCTGGTAGTTAGTAATATATGCATATTGTATACATTTCTTCATTCATAATGTGAAGCTAGGTTTCTTTCAAGCAAAATCTCACATTGTTTAATAGCATACAGCAAATGTCATAGTTCAACTTAGGAAGCAAAAAATACTGTATGTAATCAAAATTATGTGAAGAAAAAAATGCAAAGCTGCAGAATGAGTAAATATGCTGGATATGGTCTAGATCCTAGTATTAGCCTGACTTTTGCTGGGTCATACTACAAAGTATGTACTGTAAAGTACATAAAGTACAATTGTAATGCCCCAGATTACACTGAATTTAAGCTTAAGCAAGCAATAAATTTCATCTTTTTTGTCGATTTGAGTGGAATTGGTAAGCCTAAGTATTTGTTCTGTATTAAATTTGGACCTATACCGCAGCTGCTGATTCCTAAGAACAAAGATCATACTTTTGTGGTAGAGCTACTGTTGTAATGGACATAGTGTCTCATTTGAGAGGAACACTAGGTAGCTTCTCATAAAGGTATTACAGAGGAATAAGGACTGTATTTTCAGTGTTTTTAAAATGTAATCTTTTAGTTATAAAAAGCAGAAACAGATGCCTAAAGAAGCAGCTCTATACTGGCCATATAAAGTTGCTTTTTTGTATGTCTATACTGTTACTGAAGCATTTATTATATTTTACAGAGAAGGAATGCAGTGGCAGCATTTGTGGCTTTGATTTTCAGTCACCTTGTCCTTGTTATTTTACCTGCCTAATTCCTGTCAGAGGAATTGTAACCAGCTTAGACAGCAGCATAAGGGCAGTACTTGCTGCTCAGTCAAGTTAGCTCCAGTGTGGCTGTACATGATGTTTGATATAATACTCCAGAGGTCTTGAGCTTTCCTGTGTTCTGTCCTTTGTAGCATCACTTTCATTTATCTGATTCCTTCTTTCTCTCTGGAAATCAACTCAAGTAATAAGTACTGCTCCACTGCTGTCATGAATAACCTCCTGGGCAGAACATGAGTAGGCAGCACCGTGTCCCTGACACTGAAGAACACACAGACCTCATGAAAAACACTTTGACTTCACAGAGTAGTGTCGGCAACATCTGGTCTAAGATGCCGCCTGCAATGAGTGCGCACACCTATAGTGAAGTGAATCACACACAGAATCACAGAATGGCTGAGGTTGGAAGAGACCTCTATAGATCATCTAGTCCAACTCTCCTGCTCCAGCAGGGACACCCTGAGCAGGTGGCACACATGAAGCAGTGCATCATGCAAATTAATAAATTCTTTTCAAAATCTGATACTTGATTACATCATGCAAATTAATAAATTCTTTTCAAAATCTGATACTTGATTAACATGCCTAAATGGGAACATCTAAGCGACAGGTGCAATAGGTCAAGGTGCAAAGATTTTTGCTAATAATACATAAAGTCAGTCAGTTTACAAGACGTGCTTCTCCTTGGCTGTGTTCAGAGTTAATGGAAGAAGAATGCAGTTACATTCTCTTAATTCATTAAAAAGACATGACAGTGAAATGAAAAGAGACAAGTGAGTTAAAAGAGGATTGTCTTTTTGCATGTGTGAGTTACTTTTAATCAGAGTCACACTTTCAGGTAGTTTTAGGTCTAAAGAATTTTGTTTTGCCTCATTATGGCATTTACATTCTTATTTCTTAGCATGTTGATTTTGTTACGTTGCCAAGTTCACATGGAAATTGCACGTATTGAAGAAGATGAAGATAGAATAGAGGCTGCTATAGAACATTTAGAGAAGGCTATATGTCTAGATAGCAACGGGCAGTATCAAGAACATCTAAGAAGGACTTTCAATCGTCTTCGTTTGTGCACAATGCTGTATACGTCACCTGAGCGTCTAGAGGATCGGGCAGTAATGATGATTGAACAGGTAATCTTAAAGAATAAACTCAGTACCTGAGCTTAAAGTCTGGTAGATGAAAGCTATTTGGTAGATATGCTTTTTGATGGCATCAACATCTATTTGCATTCAGTAAATTAACATTGTTTGTTGTCTTGACAAGCCCTATGGCTACATCTGTGGTGATTACACACCACCCAATCTTTAATATTCAATGTCTGGGATAATAATAATGTATGGGATAGACATTCTTTTTTCCATTTGCATTCTGGGATCATTTTTGAGAAAAAAAAAAAAAAATAGAAGCGAACTTTTAATTTGCCACAACTTTCATCTGCAAAAGTAGCTACAATATTTATGGTTTAGCCTGTTTGTATGAAGAATGTAGTGAAGATTTCATTGCATGAGACAGTTTTTAAAATAATTATAGGAGCAGTGTCCAGAGAGCTAAGTATCCTCACTGCCTTTCAGTCAATCAATCAGCATTATGTCAAACTTCAAATGTAAAAATGAAAGAACCAATTTCCACTGGGACTAAAGTCCCAGTAAGAGTCATGGTCAAGAATTACTCTTAATCTAATTCTGCTGTGGTGTCTTTGCACATGAGCAAAAGTCAAATGATTGTCAGTTGACTAAAACAAATTTCTGAAATATGTACATTTTGGGATATACACAGAAATTAAGATATATTCATTCAACGTAAAATTCAGTACTGGAAGACTGCTGGCAAGATAGGTGTGTTATGGTTAGGAAAAAGAAATAATAAAGATTTTTGGTCTTTTTTTATTGCAATTTTCATAAGGATCTTAATCTGTTTAGTTATGTTTAATAAAAACACTTAGACCGTCTATAAGTGCTATTGGTTCTGGGTACCTTAGGAATTTTAATATTTCATAGTAATCAGTTATTGCACCACAGATAAAAACACTTTAGTGTTGGTTTCCAAATAAATATAATTTGTCTACAGTTTTATGGTCCCTTTTAACAACAATAATACTGAAGAATGATATGTAAAAGAAAAAGTACCAAATTCTATGATATACGTTTTGTTCATAATTAGTAAATGGGAGTAAATTAGTAAATAGTATTATAAATAGCAGTCTAGTAAAAATGTAGATACTACTGTAATAGGTCTGAAGGTACCTGGAAGAATTAGCTCTTTTCTTTACACAGGCTAAAAAAGGAAAGCAGAAGGATATTGTGAGGAAAAAGAGGTCCCTTCTGGTAAATGCAGGTCTTGCACTAGCCCCTGATTCATTTCAGATAGTCCTGGATAGCGAAAATGAAGCTAAAGGTAATGTATGTGTGTGGCTAAAGAGTATAACACCTGCCTGTGATTGCTGTGCCCAGTCCTGGAAATGGGTCATGAAAGCCAATGGAGATTGTAGAGGAGAGAATGTAGAGATTATAGTACCATGTTGAGTGACAGTTCTAAATGCTATGGCAAACTTCCTACTGACTTAACTAGGGGGCTGAGATTTATACCATGATACTGTAAGAGGAAATGATTTTATTTTCCCCTTTGAACTCAGCTGAGTTAGATAGCGTGTCACAAAATCACAATGATTAAGCTCTCCCTTAAGGTATTTGTACACATTGATAATATCCACCTCAGTCTTCTCTTCTTCAGGCTAAACAGGCCCAGCTCCCTCAGCCTCTTCTCAAAAGAGGGGTGTTGCAGTCTTCTCATCATCTTCATAGCCTTACACTGCCCTCTGTCCAGTAGTTCCATGACCCTCTTGTGCGGGAGAGCCCAGAACAACACACAATACTCCACACTAGGTGCTGTAGTTTTTTTCTCTTTGTGCAACTCCTGAAGATGTTCTTACCCACTGCCCTTGTTAAATGTTTTTTTGTAAGTTTCACCTCATAATATGCTCTGTTAATTATATACTACGCTTAGTGTTCTTTATATATTGTGCTTGCCTTTATGTTCTAATTTGTTTATTCCTTGTGGATTGTGCACAGAGATTTAATTAAGAATTCACATTTTACTTTCTAAACCATGGATTATTGACGTTCTTTATGCGGCAATTTGAATGTTTTAGTGTTCTTAAAATGCAGTGAGAATGTTGACTTTGATTGTTACTATATCCATCTCCTGTTGATGGGGACTGGATTAGAGCAGTGCATGTCTTTCCAGAAAAGTGGTACTTGAGATGTTTTGGGACCACAGACATAAATGAGTTTCTGCATATGACAGTTTGAAAATACAGAAAAGCAGAATAGAGTTAGATGTGGGTTTTTTTTTTCCTGTTTATCTGTTTTGGGGAAAGCTTAAAGGACCAAAAAAAGAACTGTGATTCAAGTGGTTTGGAAAGCAGTTAAGAATCCAAATGCATTCCCTTCATGTGGCTTTGCAGCTATAATATTTCAAAATTGCCTTGACTTCTTTTTGTCTTTCCTAAGTTTTCTCAGGTAAAAGTAGGAGTCAAATAAGCTACCTCAGTGCAAAGGCACAACATCATATTAAAAGTGTGGAGAAAGTTGATGGACATTTGAAGCGCTTGGGAAATGAAAATGACAAAGATAGGTAATAGAAAATAAATGTCTCGTCGTTTAGAAACGTGTAAAGTAACTGTTCTTCCTACAGCTTTTAAGGTCATAATTTATAAGAGGCTTCAGTCAGGCCTGGCAAATCATTTAAGCAGGCATGTAGCTCTGTGTCTGAATGCTTCCATTAAATTCACATAAAAAGTATAATCATATTCTTATTTTATTTTTCTTCTCTTTCTCTCACACACATACATACATAAACTCATCTATTCTGTTGAAACCAATATATGGAAGAACTGGTGAATTCAGTCTGGAATGCTGATTAACTTGGTATGCAACTGAAACACTGTATGTTTTATCTCTTTTGAGAACAAACTCATCCTTTTTGGTCCATACTGAGAAGCATAAAAATCAATTGTAGGAAGAACAGATAGATAGTGCTATGCCCCAAACAAGTTTAGAAATTCCAGTATAGTTATTATTCAGCATAACATAAGCCAAAAGAACTTGATTTAAAATCAATAGAGTAATTAATGACTGTATTCCTTCTGTGCTTTAATGGAAAGCCGGGCAGCGGTTTGCTTAATTGCTGTGCTACTGATAAAATTTCTTACCTTTATTAACTCTGTGTAATTAATTTTATTAGTTTTAACGTGTTGTTTATATTAGCCATCATAATTGACATCATAACTGACATATTTTTAACATATCCTAAGATATCGACAATAATTCTTCTTATAAAATATCTTAAATAGTTTTATGTATACTGTTTCTTTGATAGGATTAGACTTTGGGCAGATTTGGCAAAAGTTGCACGAAAACAAGGAGTATGGGATGTCTGCCGCACCGCATGCAGATTTTGTCTCCTGTATGATGATACTTTGTATAGGAAGGTAACAAAACTGAAAAAAAGTAAGTGTCCAAATTAATCTGAATGTTCTAAAGGGAATTTTTTTCTCCTCTATTAGACTTATTGAAAGAATCAGCCAAAGTGTTAATATGGTATTCCAGCTGATGTAACACACAATTTTATTTATTCTTTTAGATTAGGCTACTTTCAGAGTGCCTTTAAACTTAAGAAGGAGATTTGGAGTTATCAATATTCAATGGAAATATTATCAGCTGATGCTGTCAAGACCTAAACTTGAGACCTGTGCTATTGATGATTTAGGAGAGTTTGGAAAGGAAGATCTAGTTAATGTGAAAAGATGAGAAAGGAAGAGTATCACAGAGTCACAGAATGGTTGAGGTTGGAAGGGACTGCTGGAGATCATCTAGTACAACCCCCCTGCTTTTGTTCTTCAATTGTCTATATCCTGTCTTCTATCCTCATTCTTTTTTTTTTTTTTTTTTTTTTCTTCTCTACCATTCCCACAATTTCCTTAGGCTGTTGGTCCTCGCTGCAGTGGGCATACATGGAAAAAACTTACATTGCATTTTTCAGTGCAAACCCTACTTTACCTAAGAAACATTTCTACCAGCATTAGAGAAAAGTACTTATTTATGAAGTGTACCTACCTTGCTAAGAAATTAATTCTCTGCTGGTCTATATTACAACTCTCTGTCATACTTAGTTACCTGATGGAGCTGAAGGAAAATGGATTATCTTTCATTTCTTCTGAGTCTCGCTTGTTAAATTCTATATCATCTTTCCCTCATTAATGGTTCCTTCAAGATATAAGAGATCCTTGGTCTGCTACAGAACTACCACACATGTTAACAAAGGATGCTCAACTGAGGGAAGGAGCGCTTTCAAATCATTAGTTGCTTGCTGGCTTTTATACATTTGATGAAGCCTGCTTTCCTGACTGTTGTTAACTAACCTCGAAGAATAGATGAAATCCTAGTAAATATCTTTTTGTCATTTCTTTTTTAATTAGGTTAATGCTATTTGAACTTATTCCAGGTTTTTTCTTTGGACTGTTTCCAAGTTTCTCTTGAAGTAGGACATAAATTTACCCACTCTCTTTCAGGGATTTCTAATCTTCTTATTCTCTGAATGTTTATAGAGCTTTATAATTTTATCTGTGTTAGTCTAAATTGAATAAACAGGAGATCAAGGGACACTTTTCACAAATAATCAGAGGTTGTTCAGATGTCTAAACAAAACCTGCCAGAAGGTTGCTGAAGTTGGTTCATGTTTTCAATGATAGAACTTCACTAGAAATCAAGTACCTGCTATTGGCCAAAAAAAAACACTCTGACAAGTTTTATTGTGTGTGTGTGTGGGGGGGTGTTGTTGTTGTTGTGGTTTTTTTTTTCTTAATATTTCAATTAAAATAATCTTGCTCCTTTCTGTTATTTAAATGAAGTGAGGATACATTTCTCTTTATTACTGATTATATGCCAGAAAGTCTACTCCATATATGATTTAAGCACATTGAGATTTTAGTCTCTGTCACTGCATAGATCGCCCCACTTCCATTAGAAGTTGAATTAGAGAATGTTACTATATTCATATTAATTCAATTTTTGCATGAAAACTGTGACTTCAGCAAGTTATTTGCTACAAATACTGGAGTTTAAATAATAAATATAAACAAAAGCAGAGATAAAATCACGGCTAACCAAAGTGTTATTAACAGAGAACGTGTTTCAAGGTGTTTTGAGTGCAATAAATTCCAATAACTTAAAAAAAAAGTAGTAATTTAAAATCTCTATTCATGAACTTTGTATTGTGGACCTATGGCTATATAAAGACTTTTTAATTTTAAAATTAAGGTATTTTATTTTCATTTTTGCATACTAATATTAATGGTATTAATTGAACTTTTTTTTTTTTTTTTTTCCAAAGCACAGAAGAAGAAAGCTAGTATAGTTATGGATGGTGAAAAAGGTGGCAGCTTGACAGGGGAATCATTACTACCTGCTAAATCTTTCTCTTCTGAAAGAGATATACTCAAAGTGTTAGCAGAAATAAGATTCATTAATGCAGAGGTAAACAAAATGCACAGCTGTCATTCATATTTGTTCAATTTCATTTTATGTTAGTTAAATTTAGTAGTGTTATGCACAGTTCTAGCTATATTCATCTTATTCATGTTAACCAAATTCAAAATTCTATTACCTTATTAATTATTTCCTATCTCTTTGAGAACTAAATGAAAAAATAAGTTTCATGAAGCAGCTTCAAAAAATTACTCCAAAAAGCTAACTACATACATAGTTTATATTTTTAGTGATTAGCTTAGTTTTTTTTTTAATGAAGGATATTTCTCTAAACCTTTCATATCTGCTATTGTATTTCTGAAGCCTTAAAGTTTCAGTAATATAAAAGGGTTTTTTTAAAGCTATTTTTTCTAATGGAGTAGTTTATTTAATAAAATTAATAGTAAAGAACTGGAAAGTTATGAACTATCTTACATTTCTCAGAGCAGGTTTTGTATTCCCCCACCAAATCAGGAAAAAAAATGCATTTTTTTCCTTCCTTGAAGATATCCTGACACAAATCCTAAGGCTAAATCTATTTTCAGAATGATAAACTGTGTAGAAAATATATTCTCCTTATCTTTCTAGGCAACAGTTCATTTATTAAGACTGCAGGGGATTGAACTGAATGATCCTGCTGTACCTCCAGAAGATACAAGTCAGCATCCTGCAGGATATGTTGCATGTCTTTCTGAAGGTGATCCAGAATGGAAAATATACAGGTATTTTTATTTAGGTACAATACAAGTACCTATTTTATTTTATCTAGGAATTTTTGCAGTGTGTTTTATAATTGCACATATATGATAGTTTCTAAAGTTATTTCTTTTCAGTGAAGTTCCTTATCATTACTTGGTCTATGTTTTAGGTAGGAAAGGTGGTTTCCAGAGGAGAATCTAAAATCTTTGGAAGTGAATTTTCTTTAATTTACTTTGATTCTAGAGCATGTGTTTTATCATTCAACATTTATTCCTCTGTAATGAGAAGCAAATATCCCAACCTTAAAAACTAAGAAATCTTTATTATATTGACAATTGAACAATGAAATTCTTTATGAAAAAAAAGATATATAAATTGCATTTTTATCCAAAATACATGTTTCTTGGTAGCTCCTAAAACTTTAGTGATGTTTGAGCACCTGAATAAACATGCAATTAATTAGTTATGTTTGCAAAACTGTTTTGTTCCTTCCAATGAAAAGGAATGAATAAGGGAGAGTAAACTATAGCACCTTTCCTTTTTCTATTTTCACAATATTATTTGTTGTTAAAGAAAAGGGGGAGAGACTTCTAAAGATGATGCTTAAACTCTTTTCTGTTTATGTTGATATTAATATTTCTCTTACTGTTGTAGTGGTCATCATGGCCTGAAATAGCAGGATGTCAGCATTAATGTTTGCCTAAGCTGTGAAATAAAGTTAACTGCGTATTCTCTGTATTTGCTGTACATTATTGATGACTAAATATGTTTTCTCTCATCATTTACTTGCAAATGTTGAGTAAACCAGAAAAAAGTATAAACTGGTCAGAACCAAGGAATATACAAGATGAGGATTCTGTTCCCAGCTCACACAGTTTGCTTGTTGTGCCACCGTCTTTCTTGTCAAATTAAAAATCTATAGGGAAAAAAAGCATTTTTGTCTATATCACTACATATTGTACAGTTGTACAGTAGTACTCTGCTTCACTTTGTTTTCTTGGTTTCATGACTTTACCATGACTTGTCATTCAAGATTCTATTTTTAGTATTTTTTTTCTAAATGATGGGTGCAGGTAATATCTGAAAAAATGATGTATGCACAAAAGAATGCTATTGCATAGGCTATAAAAACATGTTATTTCCTATAAAAATATTAATGTAGTGTTTCAGAACATTTAGAACAGGCACTTGAGTGTAAGAAGGCATGCATTTGTTAAGTGAAGAAAACAGTTCCTAAACATCTGAAAGGAATGCCTTACTTATATCTGCATCCAGTTAAAACTTAGATTACAATCATGAAATTTAGAATATAACTACTAGTTTTCAAAGCTAATAGTACTGGAGTATTAGAGACTAATCATTTTAGTAATTCCTTTCCTGATTCATCCTCCCCATTTAGGTAAAATATTTCAACAGACAAAGATCTAATAAAGGCAACCCAAAAATAATTCCCCAAAACATTTTTTTTCCTTATTGAGATACTCTTGCATATATACTTTTTTGATGCGTCTATTTTAGTGTTGAAATTTTGGAGTAATATGTTCATATTAATTTTATAGTTCATGGATCGACTCCTTATCTCAGTACACTATGGAAAATTTTCAACGTGCGGCCGAAATAGGAGAAGAGATAAATGAAGCCTGGATTGTTCACAATGCCGTTGTCTATGTCTTAAACTACAATAAACATCTTATTACTGCAGGAAGACAGAGGGAGATTATTGAGCATCTGCAGACTCTTCTTAGAGCAATAAAGAATGTTGGACACAATGGGTAAATAGATAAGTTTGCTTATGAATATGTTTTTTTCCCCCTTGAAACAAAGATATGAATTTCAAAAATACTCTAAAAAATGCAGTAAATCACTCTACTGTTGAATGCATGTTGTTTCTGTCTTTTATTAGAAGTAGGGTTTTGTATGTGGAATATTTCAGAAAATCAACTCTGTCTTGAGGTTTGAAAATGAAGGCTTAAACCCTTCTTTCTATTCATTATAAGCCATATTAATTTTAGACTAAGACTTGTGAAGTAGTGCTTTCTTGACCTTGTCAAAAAGAATGAGGAAAAATTCCTTTCACATTCACTGTTTGCAGGATAGCTTGAAAGCATTTGAAAAGTATTTACTTTTATTGTGTGTTCCTATAAAGTTTACAATATATTGTTTAGATATTCCTATTCAGAGTAAGTTAGTAACTTGTTCTGAAATCTAAAAGGGGAGAGAGAAGAAAATTAGGAGAGGGTGCTCATGAAAATGGGACTACAGATTTTCCAGTGCTTTAGCAAAATCCTGTTCTGCAATGGCTGCAATGGGAGAGTGATTGACAGTGACTTCACTAAGAAGTTGTGAGGAGCAGCAGTAAAAAGTTTTAACAGTATTGTAGAACAAAGACTAGAGTGCAGTTTGTGCAAGGATGTAGACTAGTAATAGTTATTAATTCTGGTATTTATACTTGCATGTAATAGAGTCAGCAGTAATCTCTCAATCGTGATTTGGTTTTTGCTTCCCCAGAAGAAATTTGTGATAATTCCAGCTCCGGACTTAATTCTCATAGAAAATAATATACTTTTACAAATTAAAAAATGAAGGGTTTGGTTTAGATTATTATGAAATAGCCTTTACTTTCTGCGTACTGACTCACTATAAAACCAAATTTTGAAAATTGTCCATTGCTTACATAGTTAAGAATAGTTTTTTGGACTATTTTAAGTCATTTTAAGTACTTCTCCAATGGGATAGTTTTGTAACATGCTTCTCCAATGGGATATTTTTGTAACATGCATAACTCCTCTTTCTAAAAAAGATCTAGATTTTAAAGTATCACTAATGACTTCTCTTCTCTTGGTGTGATACACTCTACACTTCTATTTTATTTTTTTCCTTTTTCAGAAGTACTGTAATTTTACTGATGTTATGTAATGCTTTGGCTCGGGGCTTAATTCTTTGTTGGATTCCAAAACCAAAACTTGTTGAGAAGAAAAAGACAGATGCAACAACAGACAAAAATAGAAGAGCCGTGACAAAGGGGCCCGAGAAAGCAAGTTTCATCCAGCTTTTGTCAGTAGATCCCAGTGGACTTCCTGATATTAAAGCAGCCATTGAGGTACAAAGTCCTTGTTATTGCAGTCTTTTTTTTTTTTTTTTTTGGTCTGCAGTCATTTATTTATTGCACTGCATATAAATTTACAGTCTAGAAATTCTGGCAAGAAAACCAAGCTGTCTTCTTTTATAGTTCAATCCCAGCTATTTCCTGAAACCATACTGAAGTTCCTTACTAGCTGGAATATTGCAAGTTTTTTTTGCTGTGCTGGTTACAGAGATGTTGTTAAGCGTAGAGATTCATTCACGGTAACAGTATATGTTCTATACAAAATCTGTGCACATTATTCTGTGTTTCAATCTTATTTTCTTCTTGGTGTTCAGATTTGTGAATTTGCCCTAAATTTGATAGCCAGAACTGTGCCTACTGAAACGGTACCTATTTCTGTACGACAACAGATCATTGCTACATGGGTGAAAGCAAAACAGTTGCATCATCAGCAGATTGGGCTTAAAGTTGTGGCTGAGGAGGAGGTATTATTTCTATGTAATCTTGTTTAATATTGAAACTTCTCTCTGAAAAAAATCTAATTACATTCATAAGTTTGTTCAGTAATAGTTATCTATGTGTATTTTCTGCATATATTTGAATACAATAAGGAAAAAATGTTGGGAGTGTTCACACAAATCGCTACTAAATGCAACAAATTTTCACATCACACATGACAGTAGGTCTTCTTCATTCTGCTTTCTGTTTTTAGTTACCTAGAATAAATACAGTGATGTTTGCCATATTAAGATTGTATAACAAAGTTGTTTTATGAATTGGCTACCTTAAAACACCTGATATAAATCAGCATATATCAACCTTTAATATGAACCCTTTATATATATGTGTGTGTGTGTGTGTGTATATACACCCCCCCCCCCCCCCCCATATCTGGGTACATATATTGAATCCACATTAAAGGCTGATATAGATATATATAGAATATGAAATTAGTAAGTTGAAAATCACTATTTTATCCCTACCTTTTTATTCTAAACATGTCAAGTAAAATTAGTATTTCTCAGGGATATATGGAATTTATATTCATTGTGTTGCTCATATGCTTTTCTATATTGAAAAAGTAGTAGTTGGAAGTTTCCCAATGTTAGTAAAAGAGAACACACAAAAGCAAATTTGCCATTTAATAGCACAATAAAGAGCAGTAGACTTACTTAACAAGAATTGAGGTTTCCAATTGTAGATACTTTGTCATTTCATTTAATGTCTTTCATAATATTCTACTTGAAAAAAAAACAACTCTAAATGTGAAATTTCTCTTACCATTCAGAATAATGATGAAGCAGAAAATCCTATCACCAGAGTTCTTATTGGTCTAGAGATGTATTCATGTAACAACTTGGGTCTCATGGATTTCACTCTTCCTAGCTTATCTCAGGTTAGTTTTATATTACTATGGAGTTTTAAGAAAGTGCACAGTATAAAAGTGATTTTAGTCTCAGTTTCTGATGGAGACAAAAATAATTCATTGTGAAACCTTTTGTACATCATTTTTTTAATTATTATTTTAAACATTCCAAGAAGTTTAATGAAAGGTTTTTGTGATGGAATACTTGCATTTATCCATAAAACAGATAGCATACCATTATTGTATTACCACAACTGATTATGCTCTCAGGGGGCAGGTGCATTCTAAATTGTTCTGTATTTACGATCCTTTGTTTTTGTGCAGAAGATAAAGCCTTATCTTAGGATTTGTATTGAAAGTGCTCAGAATTTCAACACAGACCTTAATGTTACAGTGAACTTATCTCTGGAAGTTGAAAGGTAGAACACAACTGAAAATGGTGGCTATTAAAAAAATTAAGTAGATTTCACACAAAGTGAAATTACATTCTTAACATCGGTTCTTAAGGTGCTTTGGATCCGTCTTCCATTATTGCTCATGCTGAATATTGCCAAACTTGCCCTGAGGCCCCACCGATTACCAGTCTCTTTAAAAAGAATAAAAGGGATGTAAGAAAGATTTGTACTCTGTATTTTCAAAGTAGTGAGTTGTGTCAGAGTTCCCTTTGCAGTTTTGCCTGTTTCTTTACCATATTTATCATTTATACTTTCTACTTTAAAGAGTTTTCTTAAAGGGCTGAGACATATTTCTCCATCAGTCAACTAGGAATCTGACAAAATGATCTAAAACTTCTGTAGAAAACCTCCTCCCTAAAGACGAGGGTCTGGTTCCTTGTAAACCTTTAGGTATCTAATTTCACTTGATCTGTATATTTCTACCAAACATTATGATCTTGCTTTAACTATTTGTGCAGTGACTTAGTTTGGAAGAGCTATGCTATAATATTCTCTTTTGCCCAATTCATCAACAATTCCCATTCATTCAGAATGTGGTTCTTTCCGACTGACACATACAAAAGCTTGCAACACATTTAGGTACTGTAATGAAACTATAGATCCTTAAAACAAAGTTGTGATTGTGGAGCCAGTTCTGTCTCTCTTTCTGGCCTTTGGCTTAACTACAAAGGGTTTTGAACTGCGAAAGTCCTGTTCCCCTCTGACCATCAGGAGAAGAGAACTGCGAACATACAGTGATCCCTGACAGACAGTGCTGGTCAAAAAGCCACACACATTTGTATCTGGTTTTACATTACAATCATAACACCACAGGGTCAGAGATGATTCTCGGACCACTGTCTATTTTGTTACACTTCTCAATGTTTCATTTTCTACTTTACTACTGTGTACTACGGTGTACATGTTCCATGTTCCATGTTTGTGTGAAAGTACAGCTTTAAGTATTTATGTATGTACATGTTATAAATAAATGTGACACATTATTCACTTAACTTTTATAATCCTACAGTAATCTGAATGTATACTGAATAAGCTGGTATGAAAAAGACTACGATAAAAGCATGATAATATTTTTAAAATTTTTTTACAGTTAGTGAAATTGGCGTTGGACTCTAGCTGGTCAGATTCGTTTGTGGAATTACAGACACTGACACGACTTACGCATTTTGCATATGTATCACATGAATATGAAATAGTGATGACTTGTTCCCAAAGGATCTTGCAATCAGCTGATAACTTTTGCTTCAATAACGATACTGAGAAATGCGAAGTGTAAGTATATTGAATTTTATGTGATGATACGGCATATTTGAACTGAGTTTGAATAATGAATATATGGGGTAAAGGCAGAATTTTGAATATAATTTAGTATTTATTTTTCTGTCCCTCCCTGAAAAAATGTCAGCTCCAGTTTTTCACTGTGTGGGGAAAAACATGTAGAATCAAATTTTCTCCTAAATAAGATACTTACAAATGAAGTTCATACTTTGAGCATTGCAAAACTAGAGAAAATGTTTGCTGAATATCTAGCAATCTACGAAATACTGAATGATAACATTTTGTTCTTTGACACATGAAGTACTCATGGAGAAATGAAAGACAAACTTTCTCAATCTTATTACTGTAAGGGGCAGATAAAGGACAAGGACGTGGAGGCTTTGAATTGGCTCGTTGTTTAGTTCTGCGTGGAGCTCTGCAGCCCTCTGGTGCTCACAGCCGTAACTGCCGAGTAGTTCTCACCAACTAGAAATGAGAAGTTGGGAAACACGAGTTCTCCAAAGAAGTTCTTTTCTTTTTCTTCACCAATGTCTACAGTTGAGGTCTTTTCATGGTTTTACACTGTAACCAAGACTTTTATTTTTTGAAATTAGTGTTACCTATTTTCTTAAAAAATCAGCCTTATGCGAATATACCAAAATGGAATTTTGTTTTATGGATTATCACTTTCCTGTTATTGACATCTGTAGTCTCCACTTCTACATTTACAGCACAATTCAAGTCAATTTCTCTAAAGTCTTGTTCATATTTTTCTCAGGCACAAGACAGGCCAAGAATTATGTCAAGATATATACCAGGAATTATATCTAAGTTTCCATATTTATAGTTTTAAATGCTTGATGTGTATTTTGGACTTTGGGTTAGTATTTTGTTTGCTGTACAGTGGTGTATAGTGGTGAGAAACCTCAAATCTATTTTCTCTCTTAATTAAATATGAATAGTTTGTTTTATCATCAGACTGCACAGTTATTTTTGTTACCGTTCAGAATAAATTTTATTTCTGATATCTGCTCTCATAATGTTCAATTTTTCAATATATTCTGTTTTTAATAGAAAAGCATGTGAAAGCCCTTGCATGTAAAAAAGGTGAGGACATCAAGATAGTAACAAAATGAAAGCACTGTTGATAGGAACTGGTGTGATCTTATTCTGTAAGACTAGTCTTGAACTATTTGCTTTTATTCAGGCCTGAAAATGCTCTGAGACAGGAAATGTTAAGTACTGCTGCCTGTATACAGGGGAAGAATATAATGGCAAATCTGTCTGGGAAAAAACATCTGCGTGTAGCAGCATCAAAAGCCTTTGTTCAGAGCGCCAGGTATGTTTTTTATTGAAAAAGTGGACTAATATAAAATGCAATTAATTTTTGACTTACTGATTTTGGCACCAGATCAGCATATTCTTCTCTCTTGAGATTGATAAAAATATTTGTAAATTGAAATACCTAACAACGGTTTTGACAGAATTTTAGAGTTTAGTAAGATCATGAAGTACCATGTCTTCTATGTACCTGACATTTGTGCATTGTAGAATTATAGGATATCCCAGGTTGGAGGAGACCTCAAGAGGTCTCTAGTCCAACCTCCTACTCCAAGCAGAGCCAGAAAACCTGCAAGGGTGGAGATTACACAACATTTTTTGATTAACCTGCTCCGCTGCTCAGCTGTCGTCATGACGAAAAGGTTTCTCCTTACATTCAGTCCGAATCTTTCTGTTTCAGTTTATGCTCTTTGCTCTCCTCTTCCCACTGTCCACCACTCTGATGAGCCTGACTGTATCTTCTAAATAACCTTCTCCTCAGGTTGGCCTGAAGCCACCACTTCCCAGGACAAACCACTCTAACTTTGTACTGTATGCTACCCATAGCATGCTAAGATTTTTTATTTGCTTGTTTTTTTTTATAGTGAGAAACTAACATAATAGGAATTCAAACAAAGAAGATTATACCAGTGAAAAAACACTCAAGTAGATTTCTGCTACTTTTTATAATGAGGAGTCTTATGTTGCATGGGAATACAGTAAAAACATCAATATGATACAAAATTATTGCTCCTTTTGCTGAATAGTGTTCTATATATAAAAATAATATAAAAATTTTACAGTTAGCTCATAGGATCATCTCTCAATGGTGGAAGCATATGGTGATCACAGAATCACAGACTTACAGAATGATTAAGGTTGCAAGGGACCTCTAGAGATCATATAGTCCAACTCCCTGCTCCAGCAGGGACACTCAGAGCATGGGGCACCTGGTTGCATCCAGGTGGATTTTGAAGACCTCCGAAGAAGGAGACTCCACAACCTCTCTGGGCAGCCTGTTCCAGGACTCTGTCACCTTCACAGTAAAGAAGTTCCTCCTCGCATGGGGATGGAACTGCCTGTGTTTTAACTTATACCCATTGCCCTTGTCCTGTCACTGGCCGCCACTGAGTAGAGCTTGGCCCCTTCCTCCCTACATTCTCCCTTCATGTGCTTATACATGTTAATCATATCCCCTCTCAGCCTTCTCCAAGCTAAACAGGCCCAGCTCACTTAGTCTTTCCTCATAAGATAGATGCTGCTGTCCCTTCATCATCTTCGCCGCTCTTCACTGGGCCCTCTCTAGAAGCTCCACATCCCTGTTGTCCTGGGGAGCCTGGAACTGCACCCAGTACTCCAGGTACAGCCTCCAGAGAGCTGAGCAGAGGGGCAGGATCCACTCTCTTGTCCTGCTGGCAACATCCTCCTCATGCAGCCAGGAGCCCATTGGCCTTCTTGGCCACGAGGGCACTGCTGACTCATGCTCAGTCTGTTGTCCACCAGGATGCCCAGGGCCTTCTCTGTGGAGGTTCTCTCCAGAAGGTCACCCTTTGTCCTGGTGCCTGGGCTTATTCCTCCCCAGGTGCAGGACCCTGCACTGGTCCTTATGGAACCACATGAAATTCATCTCTACCCAACTCTCCATCCTGTCCAGGTTCCCCTGAATGGCAGCACAGCCTTCTGGAGTGTCGTCCACTCTACCCAGCTTGGTATTGTCTGTAAACTTGTTCAGGGTGCACTCTTTGTCCAAGTCATTGGTGAGCAAGTTGAACAGCATGGGGTCCAGTACTGATCCCTGGGGGACACCACTGGCCACAGGCCTCCAACTAGACTTGGCCCTATTTTTAACCACCCTCTGAGCCAAGCAGTTCATAATCCACCTCACTGTCCACCTGCCCAGTCCCCACTCTCCTATGTGCCCAGTCCACAGAGCTTTCCTATGAGAATGTTATGGGAGGCAGTGTCGAAAGCCTTGCTGAAGTCAAGGTAGGCAACATCCACGGCTCTCCCCTCGTCCAGCTGGCCAGTCATCCCATCATAGAAGGCCATCAGGTTCATCAAACATGACTTTCTCTTGGTGAATCTGTGCTGACAAGTCTTAATTACCTTCTTTTCCTTGACATACCTAAGGATGATCTCCAGGATGAGCTATTCTATCACCAGAGGTGGAGGTGAGGCTAACCAGCCTGTAGTTTCCGGGGTCCTTCTTGTCCTTTTTGAAGAGTGGAGTGACATTGGTTTCTTCCAGTCCTCCAACACCTCCCCCGCTCTCCATGATCTCTTGAAGATGATGGAGAGCAGCTGAGCAATAACCCCCACCAGTTCTTTCAGCACTCTTGAGCGTATCCCATCAGGCACCGTATATTTATGAGTATCTAGTTTGCCCAAATAATTTCTAACCCTACCCTCTTCAACCAGGGGGAATTCTTCCTCCTCTCAGTTTTTCTGTATGGTCTCCAGACTCTGTAGTTCATGAGGACCAGCCTTAGCAGTAAAGACTGAAGCAAAGAAAGCGTTTAGTATCTCTGCCTTCTCTGCATCCTCCGTCACCAAGGCATCCTCCGCATTCAGCAGAGCATTTTCCCGAATCTTCTTGCTGCTGATGAATTTTAAAAACCCCTCCTGTTGTCTCTGACATTTTTTGCTAAATTTCATTCCAGATGGGCCTTGGCCTTCCTCCACCCCTCTCTGCCTTTTCTGACAGTGTTCCTATATTCTTCCCAAGTGCGATCCTAAGCTTGGACAAGTGGTGCCAACTCTCCTGGACCTTTCTTTCTAGGGCCCTGGCGCAGGGGATCCGTCCAAGTAGGTCCCTAAAGAGGTCAAAGTTAGTGCTCTCAGTTCTCTCTAAACTACAGATTTTGTTGTAGCAGAAAAGTTCTTATTTTGGTTAGAATGTGAGTTTTTCCTCCATTAAAATGTACTTTCTTTTCTTCAGATATGCAGGTGAAGCAGGAAATTATTCCCTTGTAATGTTTGCAGCTAGACAGTTTTGGAATACATGCTTACCTTTGATAGGTTCTCCATATGACAGAGAACAGCTTAAAGAACCTACTGAAGTAATTCTCAAGCATATAATTAAAGCAGAATCTAAAAATAAACAGGTAAGAGTAAATAAACTATTTTTAGTTATGCTTGTATTTAGGGACTGATATTGACTGTAAAAATTTTGCTTTGCTTTGAGACCATGGGTACCTTCTTTAGAGTTACCTTTCCTAAGAGGGAAGAAAGTTTTCTTACCTGCATTCATATAACACATCTATATTCCTACAGGCAATCACATATTCTTTCTCCATTTTACTATTTTTCTGGTTAAGGCCACTGTCAGGCTTGGAGTTGTTTTTTTGTTTTAATAGTGTCTCACTTTGTGAAGCTTTCAAAGGAAAATATTTAGAAAATTCAGAAAATCCAGAAAAAAAAATTCTATCATTTCCATGGAGGATGATAATAGACCTTAAAAAAACAAAAAACTTGCCACTAGATTACTGCTTCTGTCAACTGCAGATTCTGTTTTCATTTCTAACTGGAAAATATATATATATATATATATATATATATATATATATAAAGACAATCTTAATAGCATATTTGACACTAAGGTAGTAGGAAGAATTATAATTCAAAAACTGCTGGGTGTTGATAAAATTATATATTTGCAGATTTCCTTTATGAACAGCATATGTAGACTGAAGGAAGCTATTTCCTCTTAAAATAATATGCAGTGTTTAAGTGTGTGGTAAGGTGATATGTAACAGATAACAGATCTGGTCACATCAAATTTCTTCTGCACACTGAAACATCCATGTACATTTAGAGCTTTTTGTTTTCTTTCTACAAAATTCCCTGGAGTTGATACATTTCTCTCTAGGTTTAGCCTGTCACTGAAGCTTATCAGAGCATTTCATATGTTGCAATGGACATAGAATCAGGCCTTAAAAGTTTAGGAGTAAATTTTGCATTCAAGTTCAGAGATCCCAATGTGACATCTAGGTGTGAATCTGAGATCATCTAGCAAAGTGGTATAAGAAGAAAAACTTAATTTTACTTTCCTCTTAAGCCAAGTGTAAATCACTAGCAATCAGAGATGGTAATTAGTCTGCTTGATTCAAAGGCATTAGTAGACAAAATTGGTGAGTACGCTCTGCACCCAAAAGCACAATCTGTACTGCTAGCTCATTAATAGTTAAAATTAACTGTTTTCTTAGTTACAAGATCTTTGTGATAAAATAACTGGTGTGATTGTTATAGAGAATAGGCTTATTAATTAACAATTCTTATTAACAATCAACTAAATGGAGCACATTGCTTGTCCCTGGTAAAATGCTGTTTATTCCTGCTGAGTGTATAGGCGCCTCTCAGCCTTACAAGGAGTCGACAAATGCTGCCATATTTCTTCTTCCTGAATGTGCAGGGGCCTCAGCTTTATGAAGAGTTGCTTTAGGCTAGCGTTCCAGGGTAAGCGGAGGTCCTGCTGGCCTCAGCTGTTCCGTGGCTGTACGATACAGTATTTTATTGTCTCATGCTATTTAATCGGGGTAGGAATACTGTGTGAACACTACTGAGTCTGATTGTTGCTGTTCTGGTTGCATATTATAGAACACAATCTTGAGGAACAGTTGTAGTTTTCATTTTCTGCACAAATAGATATTTAAGTAATAAGGTGAAGTGTTCATATTCAGTTCAAGGTTAATAGTTCATATTACTAGGTTATTAAATCTATGAGTTAGTCTTAAAGAAAAACAGCATGGCAATGCTTAGACACATACTCTAACAAAAATATAAAGGACAATTTTCTTTGTCTTTTTAGGAAAAGAATGATATGTTGCCTTTGCATCAGTGGCTTACTAAGGATTTTCAAAGTAATGAATTACCACTTGGACACTTTCTCCCAGGCATGTACTTCTTTGATTTGTTTATAAAAACCTCTTTCGGCCACAGTATTTTGTGATGCAACTGAATTTTATATTAATAAGTATATTAATAAATCATTTATCATTTGAATACACTTCAAAGGTGCTGAGGAAGATCTGACACTGCGAACCTCTTTATATGGATTGCTATTTCACATACACGCTGATAGAGCTGATTGGGAGAGAGCACTAAAAGTGCTAGATGAAGCCATTCAGGTTTTGCCTCGGACTAGACACAGGCTGTAAGCTGATTGACTTATTTTTATTAAAATGAGGATCGTGATTCTTTAGCAATATAAAACTCAAATTTCTGTCGTAAGGTCTGTCTTTTTATTTTTTCTTCTTTTTACATTGTTAAAATAATACCATGGCTTCCTTTTTGTCAGGTTGGAAGTTGTAACAGTTGAAATACAAGCTGAAAATACAAGTGCGTTTTTTCCATAAAAAGACATATTTTGACATTGCTTCTTATCATTAAACTGTTCACAGTATTTATGAACTTCAGCTTTTAAACCTTAATGTATAAGTATTATATAACTTTTTTATAAGAAAATGGAATAGGGAAAATGAATTTCCTAGTAATAAGAGGAAATTTAATACTCCTAGCTGCAGAGCCATTTTTGTTAGAAAGAAACTAAATTGTCTATGGTATTGTTCATAGAAATCTAGGGTACCATTTAGATAAAGTTTTAGTGAAGTTCAAAGATTTATGCACTTTTGCAAAGATTTTTATTATTTTATGGACATTTACATCTCTGCCCTATATTGATGTCAACTAATTTATCTATCCTACCCACAAAGTAACTTTACTAGTAGACATGTGATTAATCTTTAGCATTTTTTTCCTCTTCTAGACTGATTTTTAAACATGTGGTTATAGTGAAGGCAAGGCTGGGATACAATTTTATGATGGACATTCAGAAATTCAAAGATGAAAGTGAAGATTATCTGTCACTAATGTGGCGCCATCTGGTAACAGTCTCCAGAAGTACTGCTGGACAGTTAAACTGTTTTCAAAATGCAATTGATGCTTTGCAGGTTTGTGAATTTTTATTACATCTTTAAGGCTGAGAAAATTATGCTTCTAAAAGTGATTTATGAGATTGCAAATGCCGTAAAGTATATAAGGAACCAGTTGGTAGGCCATATGTGTGGACACTAATTTAATGTTCGTACATTAAAAAAAATTCATACATTAATTTTCATCTCTTAATTTGAACTTTTTCCTTTAAATACAAATAAAAAGCAGTAAGATTGAAGCTGATATATATATACATGAAACAAAAAGAATCTGTAGGTTGTTATGTAAATAAAAGATATTATATAATTGTTTACATTTCCTGAAGATAATTATTCATTAAATATCCACTACAATTAAAGTTGTAGGTATGAAATTACAGTGTACAAGCCACAAAAAATTTGAAGGCATGAAAATTTACACCTTGTTTAGAAGCAGCATATTGTGTACTAAAATTGGTCGCTTATCTACCAGAAATCAGACCGAACATATCATGCCAGTGTGACAAAAAGTGTATTCTGCTCTGTTTATTGCCACATTTTGTCCTTGATTTAAGCCTGCTTTCCTAAAGAAGTAAGATTTAAATAATTGCTTTGCCTTTCTAAATTCCTCTATCCTATCCACCATCCCAGTTTTAAAAAAATTGTTATATTTGTTTAGCTTCAGTCAAATTTGAGAAGGTATCAGGTATCAGTAGTTTAATTGAAATGGCAGCTAACTGTAAGAGATTGAGACCTCTTCTGTAGACTTGACAACAAAGGCTACTGCAGGAGTACAACTTCTATGCGAAATCAGAGGAAGAAAAATTTGTTTGTAAATAAGAAAGATCAGTTATGAATGTCATGGCAACAATGATGATATGATGTTTTAATAGAAAACAATTCTACAGGAAATCAACATTCATTATTTTGCCGTTCATTAAATTACTTTTCTTCTGTTGTTGGGTACTGTTAACTGCAGGGAAGGAGATCTCTTCAGCTTCACTGAGTTGGCTTTTAAGTGCTGTTAGGCCACTTGTCATTTCCACAATTTTAAGTTTTTTTTTTTTCTTTCTAGTTTTTCCTTTTTTTTTCACTTCTTAAGTACTCTTAGCATTGAAGGTTAATGGAAAGGAGGAGAATGTTTAATATTATTTTATGGGGTTTTGTTTTTAACTTTTTACCTTCAGTCTGGAATTATACGTAAGTTTAGTACATATTTGTGATTGTTTAGTTATGGAACTAAGTGTTAGTAATTCTTTTAGTAATGGAAAGTATGAAAATATATGGATTAGCTAATTGAATGCTATAACTACTTGGCATTAGATTATTTTTTAGATTTTTGAAATTTCTGGAAAAATATGTCTTTGAAAAGCTGGAAAATGGTGTGCATGATTTGAATCTTGCTATCCACTAAAAGTTCAATTGAATCTTCTCAAGGAAAAGTGAACAAGTAGCTAACTGTTGAAATACTTTTCAAAAATACTTTTGTTGAATACTTTTTTTGAATACTTTTTATCATCAAATATAAACTAATTGTTGAACTATCACTTTTATAGAAAGAAGAAAGTGAATGGCAGAAAGTTGATTATCTGTTGGAATTTGCTGAATGGTTGTACTGCAACCAGTTTCCTCTTGTTGATGTTATTAAAACTCTCCACTGGGCAGTCGATATCTTGCTCCATATAAAATCTTCCATGCGACCTTCACAAGGAGAAGGTGTGTACATACATATATCCTTCTAAGTAATCTCCTAGTTGCCTTATTTTACCGTGTAGCTGGCACGTGTGAGAAACAGCAGGGCAATGTGGCCATACTTGCTCTGATACTCCCCATCACTCTTTCAAGGCAAGCTTAGCGGTGCCTGCCAAGTTGGTGAACCACCCTGACGCGCTCTCAAGGCCTTGCTCTGACCCAGCAGATCTGCTGCGCCTCTGGCATGGGTGCTGGCGCGTCCTGCCTTGGCCGGTGCCAGCAGAAAGCATTGCTGAGCAACAGGTTTCGAATGCAGCTGTGTGGAGGTCATGTGGAGCTGTGTGGAGGTGGCATGATTTCAGCAACCAGTTTTTTGCGCCACTGTTTAATTGAAAAAGCATCTTCTGAAATGGTACAGTACTGTGTGGCAATAACCAGCGTCTGCTCTGCTCTTGACATATTTTCATCTAGTTAAATTAAATGGATCACAGAAATACTTGTGGTATTGGAATGAAAAAGAAAAATCTGTGATGTCTCTAGTATCAATTACATACTTAAAGTTATACTCTCAATATTCTTCTCATATGTTGGGTACCCACAGTTTCATGGCAATTTAGTGTTTTTATTTTTTCTTTATCTATATTTCCATTCAGTTTCACATGTTTGATTATGCTTGCTGGTCTCTTCATAACACTTCCTTCATAACACCTTCCTTCTCCTCCGTTGCTAATGGCAGTCGTACAAAATTCAATAGTTTTGCTTGCTTTGTTGTTGTTGTTTTTTCTTTTCTAACTTCATCTGTGACCTCCGTGGACTATTCGGCTGGTGTTGTGCCATTGCCCTGTGTTTTAACTGTGCTATAATACAGTAATTTGACATTGAAGGAGGACTGTGGCTTTATGGTACTTCAGGCTGAAAATCCTCAAAATTACTTGGTTTTGAGCTGAATTTCGAGGAAAGTTGAAATGTATGTAAAGTGTATGAGTTTATCTCTGAAAAAAATGCAAGAATCACACTGCACAAAGGAGGATTGTTTAAGTAGCAGAGCATCTTTTGTAGATGCAAAGCCATCAGGACATTTCATTATAGGTGCAGAAATGAGCCTGAGCTATGTTTTAGACTGCTTAAAATTGACCCATTGAAATATTGGGGATTTTTGGTTTGTAAATGAATGGTGACCAAATGTACTTTTGCCGCTGGGTAGGATAAAGGTTGTTAGGACATGGTCCTTGGCAGCTGTTTGCTGTACATACCAGACTGGACTGGAACAGTGTTTAAATGACTGAAGATAAGTTAAAATGACTTTCACATAGATTTATGACATATTTGTTTTCACTTATTTATTATTTACATATTTGTTTTCACTTAAGATATTTAACTTTGAATTTAATGTTAAATACTGAGACTGTGAGCATATTTTTTTTTAACAGAAAAAAATACTTTAATGAAATTATCAGCTATAGAAAATCTGAAGATGGACATTGGAAGAAATGATGTGATGCCCACAGTTGCTTTGGAAGATCTGAGTAATATTAAGCAATTGGAAGCTTTTTTTAGAGCACATACTTTAATGGCTGTAATTTTTGGTCATAGTTCTCCTTTTCATCAGCAACACTGTTTGATGGCATATGCTTGCATCATTCGTATCTGGCAGGTGAGAGCAGAAGTTAAATGGGGCCTGCAGATTTTGAGTTACTTTATGTATGGTGTGAGCTATTAATAGAATATTTTAAAACATCTTTACTGTGTTGTTTTCAATTTTATAGTATAATTGTGAGTTTTTTTCAGTTTTGGTTCAGTTTTTCAGTGATGGTATCATCTTTTGACACAGTGAGGTTAAAGTTGGTTCAGCTACTTAAGTACATAATTGTGCTCTTCCTAAATTCTTGTAGAACTAATGATATTATCTGTGAGTCTGTGAAATTTTGTTTTTGTGAGCAAAGTTTTGATAAGTAAACCAGGTTGTTTGATGCATTATGATAGCTGTAGGTAATGATTTGCACTGAATAATCATGCTAATTAGCAATTTTCAGGGAAAAGCTGGAATTATTTCTGTTGTCCAGGTTTCTCTGTCAGCATCAGCACCTATTCTGAAAGTAATGTCGAAGACTTCACAACTTACTACTCTTCAGAATGTGCAGTCAATCATTGCGTTTAAGAAAGAAAAGGACAAAAAGGAGGAGAAACATGTAAGAATCTTTTCCATCTGTTTCCTATGTAATGTTTACCATGGGTCACGAGTTAAATAGTTGAGATACTTTTTTTAAAAACTCTAGCTTCTCTATAGGTTTTCTCTCTATGTCTGTATCCTATCTTCATTCTTGGTCTCGCAGACTTGGCAGGTCATCAATTTATGGGTGCTTTTTCTTTGTTCTCTTTTTGTTTGCTGCATTGGTCAAAATACTCCTGTTTGGCAGAACCCACAGTCTAAAGGTCAAAAAAGAGACAAAACTTCAAAGGATACTAAACAGGTATCTTTTTATGTTAGTTGAATATTTCATGGAAGCAGAAATGTTAACTTTGGTTTTATGAATGTATTTTTAATTATAGGTTAAAGCTTCTGTTGTGAAAGAGAAGCCTAAAAGGAAAGAATCAATTGATGGCTTACCAGCAAATGTGGAAGAATGGGCTAGTTATGACTGTCCCAGTGAAATCAGAGAGGCATTCAAACAGAAAATGAATAGTTATGGTATTAACGAGGAAAATTTCCCCAAACCTGTAAGTATGCACCTAACGCGTGCATACTTACACTGCGCTCTAACATGGTTAGTTTTTCTGAAAAAATAGCAGAGAGCCATATTGCATTTTTATTTTTGTGAGGTGAAAAGTAGGCTCAAACAATTGTCAGAAATACATAGCATTTTTTTAGTTAATTCTTCAGAAGTGTTAGTCCATCCTCAATATTCTGAAATGAACTTACCATAATATAAAATTACTGAATTTCTATGTAATTAACTCATTCTTCAGTTTGAAAGCTCATTTATGATTTGTTTAAACTAAAGTTTAGCTTAAACTAAACTTTAAAGTTTTGAACTGAAAATACATTTAAAATATATTTAGAATGTATTTTCTGTGAAATTATGTTTATATTAATCAAATGAATGATTTTTTTTTTCTTTTTAGACTTGCACTTTGTATTTTATTGACCTTTTAGCTGAAGAGTTACAGAAATTTTTTTGCCCCCACTTGACTCTTCCCATCTTTCAGCTGGCTGAAGTCATTGCTAGTGAAGTTGTGGAATGTAAAAGTCTATCTGATCTCTATCATCTTCGGTTTGTATGTTTTATTTATTTTAAATAAAAGAGGAACAAAATGGCAAGGACTTTCTATGAGTATTTCACTAAATAGTAAATAATGGTTTTTGAGACTTACTGTTTCATATTTGTAATTTAATTCATGTTGATACATTTTAATTAAGACTTATTTATTTTTAGCATTAAATACCATAAGATTATCTATTACTAAACCTGACCTGTATTAGAAAAGACATGCAAGATTAGGAATTCAGAGCACTTCCAGGTGAATCATTTTTTAACATCGTAATATCACCTAACTGAATAAAGCAAAGACCAAGCAAAATTCAATGGACTATCCTTTAAGTTATCAAAATGCCAGATTCCGCATCAGGCACATGTTGTGTCTTCAACTTTAGAACCCAAATAAACATCCCTAGTTACAGCAATCATTCTCTTTTAAAGATATTTAACTTTGTGCCTAAAATTCTATTTTTTAAGCATGTTACGCCCTGAATATTTAGAGAAAAAATAGAGGATGCACGTGCCTGTGCATGCATATTCTTCTGAAACCTTACAAGATAGAATAGATAAATATTCACGTATACAAATCTCTAGATGGAGAGATAAAAATACATTAATATATTACTCTCTGTTGAATGCAGAAAAGCACTTTGGTATGTTTATCAAATAGCAGTTTAGTATGTGTAATAATACTTGCATATAATTTGAGATCTAATTTCAGTTAGAGTGAATTTATTTTAAAAGTTTGACACTGCCAGTATTAATATATAAGACAAAAGGACGAGGAAGCAGGAAATATATCCTCTCTATTATATGTTTATGTGAAGCAACATTTGGGAGATTCTGATTATTTCTTAAATATCTCTTCTCTTAGAATTGCCCTGATATGTTCAGATTTAAAATTGAGTGAAGCGTCTTCTTATCATGAGAAAACTGTCGGAGAAACATTCATCAGTGTATTAGAACAGGCAATGTATGTATTTCTGCTACAGGGGGGTTATTTAGCTTTTTTTCCTACAATTGATAAGAGCTAACAGGAAAAAAAAAAAGTAAAAATGTAGCCTTTGAACACAAATGTGATACATTTTGTGCATTTAAAATACAGTGCTTTAAAATACTGTGATTATTTCGTATCTCTTCACAGAATGTTTAGTAAAGCTGCATAATATAATAACATATCACGATGAAATACTTCTAAAATATACTTCAGTTTACTTTTTTCTTTTGTGATTTAGGTGTAGACAAGAGATTGCATTGAAAAAAGAAAAAAATGTGCATGCTGAGACAGAATTTGAAAATGAAGCATTTTTGGAAAATACGAAGCTGAATAGTAGCAAAGACAACAATGTAGTCACTTCAAATGAAAAGGTTTATAATATTTATTCATTTCCTTATTGGATCATATTTCACTTTGGATTTATTTTGCTTGCTAGTTTGTTTTTAAATGTTTTTATACTTCAGAAGCACATCAATTCACAAAAAATATTAAAATACGTACAAGTTAAAATTCTGATGACTGGCATCAGCTGAATATGAGCTGGATTTGCTTGGTATATCACCCCTTGGTATACTCACCCCCTGCTGAGTAGCAGGGGTGTAATCTGTATTCATACAAGGTCAAACAAGTGAAGTTGGGGCTATCTTCTTTCCCGCTGTTAAATTTCTGTGTACTGTTTTGTTCCCTCTCATACATTGTTTTAAAGGCTTGCAAGTATTTGAGCTTTGTCTTTTTTCCCCTTTCTAAGAAGATAAGAAATTGCCTTATAAATATTAAAGCTGAACTCCAATTTCGTGCCTTTTAATACAGTTATGCCCTAGTTTTCATCATATCATTTTGGTCTATTTGTACCTTCTTCCATTCTTCTTCACATCAAATGTGTTTTTCTTATTACTAAATCCTTTTGAATGATCTCTTTTATCTCTCATAAATTTTTCTTACCAAGAGTCAGCTGCTACTGTACAGTAACAGATCTGAAGTTAATCTTCTCCCCCAAATTGATTGTACCACTGTATATTTGATACTTGAATGCCTTTTTATGAGATCCAAATCTCACAATACTCTTCTTTGTCCTATGGTTTAGCTTTGAATTCTTAAATTAGAAAATAGAGTGGAATTGCAGGATATGTCAAAGATAGCATAGGATAGTTGATATCTATTTATATTTAATCTAGTTTTGTTTTAAAATTTATGAAGGATTAGTACATGATTGTTTTCCAGATTTTGGAGTTAAATGCAGTAACAGGAAAAGGACTGAGTGGACTTTCTTTCCCTTATATATGGATAAAAAAAGCTGAAGTACTAATACAGCTAGGCTTGTATCAGCCAGCAAGACTACTGCTTTCAGAAGCCCTCACTGCAACTCAGGTACAGAAATACAAAAGTAAACCAAAATTAGTAAAATATGTGTAGAAAAAGTGCTCATTTTTTATGTAGTCATTTCTCAAAATCAGGTAGCAAAAAATTATTTTAAAAATCTCAACTAGAAATGCTGCTGTTAAGCTAAAAGAAACTAACCAAAACATCCATATTGCTAATAAAAATAAAAGTAAAAAAAAAAATTACTTTTGTATGAACATATATAACTCCCGTGAACTTAACTTTACAGAATTTAACTCCAACTTTATGGTACTGTCCAAAGATTATTTCAACCTGTGAAGAAGTGTCAGCATCTCTGGATGCTTTGCAATAACTGTCAAAAGGCCAGTGAGTGACCAAACTTTGTCAGAGTGGGTAGTTAAGGAACATTCAAGATATGTTCATAAGATAGAGAGAACGTTTAGCCCCATCCTCTCAATGGGATGATCTTTTGAAAGACTAATTATATTACTTTGAACTTGGTTATGGTTTTACTGCTAATTGTGTTTTTAGCAACAGCTACTTATGCTAGAATTATGACTTAGAATTCTGGCAGAGCTGATATATAGTGTCCATATGTTCCACCAAGCTACTTCACATCTCAATATTATGAAGAATTTACGTTAAAGATAACTATATCCTATATCTACTGTTCTCCATGACATCTCTCTTCCTAGTTATGCAGGTTCCTGGAATTTAGCATAATTAATGTAATAAATCCTTTAATTTTTTAAAGATACAGTTATTAAGGCATTATGCCACCTTATATTTGAAAACTTAGTGTGTTTTTAACATGAATAATATATTCTCTTATTAAAGCATAAATTTGGTATTGCTCATTGAGAAAAGATCAGAAGACCTTAGGGAGGACAGTATATTTTGTAGATACTTCATTATTGCTACTATCCTGTATTTATCTCTATGTATTGCCCGCAGGAGAGAAGGTTGAGATGGGATCTGATTAATATGTATAAACTACTTGAAGGGTGAATGTTGGCAGGAGGGGGCCAAACTCGGTGGTGGCCAGTGACAGGACACAGGGCAATGGGTATGAGTTGAAACCCAGGCAGTTCCATCTCCACATAGGAAGAACTTCTTCACTGTGAGCGTGCCAGAGCCCTGGAACAGGCTGCCCAGGGAGGCTGTGGAGTCTCCCTCTCTGGAGGTCTTCCAAACCCACCTGGATGTGACGAATCCCACCGGGACGTAGTGAATTCTGAAGATGAACGAGGAAACTACCATTCACTTTTTGTTTCCATGGATATTTGTGATTTTGGTCTAAAATATGAATAGGAACAAATATGAATTACTGTAATGGATCTTTCCTAGGAACTGAGGGCTCCATATGATGTGTCAAGGTGTTTGTATTTATTTGCTGTATTGGCTAACCAGGAAAAAAAACATGGACAAGCTAAAGCACTCATTGAGAAAGCACAGCTGCTAGGAGGAAATGAGCAATTTTGGTACAACAGCACTCTTAGTCTCGTAGAGGCAATCCTAGAAGAAGAGGAGGAAGGAAAGCAGAGTGTGGTAAGGAACTATTCTTCACTTTTTGGCAGTGCCTAGCTTTCAGTAACGAGAGACGCTACATGTATCATGCATTTAATGTTTTGCATGCAAAAAAAAAATTAGCTACAGATTCCAAACAGATGTTGACCAGTAAGAATGAAGGCTTAATTACAGAAGTTTATTTTTTTCCTGAATTGTGTATCCTTTCATCAAAATAACAGCAGTAGTAAACTTGTAAGTCTAACTAAATCTGTAGACAGAGAATTCTGTTAACATTGGCATATATTTATTTGTCTTTCAATATTATTTGCTTCTTCTTTTTCAAATACTTATTTTGACACCCTGAAAGATACTACAGTAATCACTTTTTTCTACTTAACACTTATATGTATAAAATGTCTGTTTACTGTTCAACTCTTAGCTTTCACGGATTTCCATGCTAAGATAATGCTGTTGTGCCTGTGATGTTCTGTCCTGTACTGATTATCTGTGCCATTCTGTCCTGTACAAAGAAGTTATTTTGTTCTGAGGCAAACTCATAAAAATTAAAAGACAGAAATACCTAGGTACAATGTGAATATTTTCTGTGTTTTTAGCAGCATAGCTATTAGTGAAGTTGTGTGAGATTTTTTTGTTTATTTTATTATTTTTTTTCCAGTACTTCCAACTAATATTATTACAATAGCAAAGTTCTCAATTATGGACAAATCTATCGGTGATGTTTTGAGCATCATCTCGGTGGCTTTTTAATTCAAAACTGTCAGTTAGGGACTTACTTTACATCCGCAAGTGGTAATACCTCTTTCAAATTTTTTAACATTTCCTGGAGAAAATATAAGCTTTCTAAATAAATGTTTGATATTATGTGTAGACATTTAAAATAACGTTATAAAAATGATGTCCTATGCAGGCTTGTGGAATTTTGGAACACACTGTAAATGTACTCAGATCTACTTTGCTAAAAAGACCCAACAGAGAATCTGAATTGCATTTTATGATTGCATCCCTTGAAGCCAGGTAACTGTCTCTTTTTACTGAAGTATATCTAGCCTCCAGAGTGCAGCTACAGTGAAGTTTTATTCCTTAGTGATTTCACTATTCACCTTCTTTCGGGTATGGTTCATTCCATATATTCTCATTTTTTCCCCAACCAATTTTTGCTTATTCTATTTTCCTTTAAGCCTCCTTTCTAATTCATACATTCTAATTCATTCTTGTATGTAGCTCTACTAACTGTTTAGTAAGGTAGTTCAGGTGCCAAACCTATCGTAGGTAGTTTATAGTGCAGGTTACCTGAGGAAGCAAAATACCTTTCTCTATGCAAAGGTCATATATCCCTAAGCTCATATATCTCCATAGTACTACTGTGGTTTGCTGCATTGGCCTAATGCCAATGCATATGTTGAATCTAAACAGTTTGGTGACACTGAACATCAAAATATAGACTTTGTTTTGTATTTTGAACTCAATACATAAAGACATATGCTGAAAGTTTAAAATGCATAGGTAAAGAAAGAAGAAAATAAAACATTCATACCTACTTCTGTTTCCTGAAATCTGAAGCTTTTGTATTAGAAAGATTTAATGGTATTCTCAGTTCAGCTCTATTTATGATATAACTGATAAGGCCTAGACAATCTGAAAAAGAAGATAAATGAAGCAACTGCTGCTTTAGTTCCAATCTGAAAAGTAATACTTCATATTCTTCAGGCCAGATTCAAAGAACTAGGAGATTTATTCTAGATTTATTTTAATTTATATAGTAAAAACAAGAAGAGATCAGAGAGAAATCTATTAGTTTTCAAACACAGACTGTGCTTTCTGACTATCTTATACTTAATTTTTGTTTCTAGGAAAACACTCATTCAGATACACTTTGCCCAAAGTTGTATGACTGCTAACAAGACTGCTAAGTCTTCTGAGTTACCACATATGTTACAGGAACCTTATAACAAACTAATTCAGATCGAGAAAGACTTCTTTTTTTATGGATATAAAAACTGCAGTGCTGAAATCTTGCTAGAATGTGCAAATATTCACAGGTAAGTTTATACTTGTGATGAGAAATTTTATTTAATTAGAATTAATCCAGCCAATCTAATCTAATGTAATCTAATGAAAGATGGAGAAAGTAATATTGACAGCTCATATCCCACTGCTTAGGTTTGTATCCTCAGCCTGGATGTTTTCCGTATGGAAAAGAAGACCATAGTATTAAGATTTTTTTTCCACCAAAGGCAGAGTTAATCTTCTTTAGTGCTAGTGATATGTACTGTTTTTGAGATCCAAAAAAGGGTTGAAGCCACTACACTAGCCTTTTGTTTTCCCACCTGTAAAGGCATACTGTCAGCCAGAACAATCAGTCTCAGGTATTTATAGACTTTTAGGAATTGCTATAATACAATTACACAGGCAGAAATACAGAGTATGTTGTGCGTTGCCACCCAGCTGTTTGCAGAATGCTTTGTTCTGGAGATGGAGCTGCCTTCTGTACTCTCCTGTTCTGGCGTGCTGTTCCCTGGGAACAACTGTTCCCAAGCAGCGCCTGTCTTGCTGGCCTGTCTTGGACTGTTTCCATATGTCAGCAGTGTGGAGTGGAAAGAACAGTTGCAAGAGCAAGACCTTGAGAAACAGTGTGTAAATGCTTACTTTTGATGTCTGGGCCCTTAACAAATACATGTGCAAATTTAATTTATCTAGCACTTATATTAAATATCCTAAAAATTGTTGATCTCTCTTTTTTTTTAGGAAGCTTGCTAAGCAGGCAAGAAATGAAGAAAAGCACCGTCACTATCTAGATGCATATAACTTAGCTCAGAGGGCTGTTTCTGAAGCAGAAGAAGTGTTTAATAATATTTCTAGCTTATTTGCATTTAATGAGGTATGACTGTATGTTTTGCTATTAAGAGAAAAAAAAATATAATTTAGTTTTACTATTCATATGTTTTTAGACAATTCTTGAAGGCTCCAAATGGGATTATCCTATAGATAGAGATAGACATTGTAGATAGACATTGTAGATGGACATTGTAGATGGACATTGTAGATAGACATTGTAGATAGACATTGTAGATAGACATGTAGACATCTGTAGAAATGCAGAAGGAAATATTCCGTTCTTGAAGAATAGACTGTTTAAATAGGTAAAGATGGCAAACAGAAATGACAGCATATGTTTGGTGTACATCAATTTTATTTAATTCTAGAATTTATTTGAAAGAAAAAAGAGAAAGTCTAACGTACATTGGTCAATTTATTTTCTAAATACTTCATAAGTTCTGCATAATGAAATGTATATTCTTCAAGAGAAAAAATCTTTGCACAGAATATTACATTAAAAAAGCCTACGTTAAATAGTCTATTTTGGATACCTCTAGTTTATTGTTTCCCTTTTCAAAGGGTAAATATTTCTGTGCTTGAAAAAAAAATGATTGACAAAAGCAATAATTTTACAATTCCATTCTTATATACACATTTATATTTCCTTTCAAATTACATTTTTTATCAAGGACATAAAACACATGAAGCAAAACCTGACTGTTGTTCTTTCATGCAGCTGCTCTCATTGCTTTGTAGTATATTTGACATTAGGGTTTATCTTCTAAGTCATTGAATTGTATTTATAGTAATATCTATGATCCATTGAAGTGTTGCTGTTCAAACTTATACTTCTTCAGTTAGAAATAAAACAGCCCAACTTTTTAGCAGGTAAATATGAAAAAAAAAAGAATTTAGAATTTTACTTTCCTTTATTTGTATTTCAGACTACAAATATTAGTATCCCATTAATGAGACAACTGTCTAACAGGAAACTAAAATTCGTGGAAATTCTTCTGGATATTTTTCGTCTTGTTATTATTGAAAAAAAAAACAAAAAAGCAGGAGAGACATCACTCCATAAAATTGTGGAAGCATTCATCAGAGTGAAAACTGAAGATGATTCAACAGAACAGGTTAGATAGTTAGACTTAAGAAATGCCTCACTAAATCAGACCAGTGATTTTTGCCCCATATTCTGTCCCAGACAATTAAACCTCTGTCTTCACAGTATTACACACCTCAGACATCTCCCCTCAGCCTTTTACTCTACAAATTCTCCATCACTTCAAATTTGTAGATCAATATCATGCATTTTCAGAAAAGATCAAATCCAACAAGGCTTGATATGGAGTCACTTGACTTGGTGAAAGTCTGTCCCCTGATATTGTGCAGGTCAGATCAGATTATCGTAACATTTCTGCTGATTGCAAAACCTGTTTTGTAAAATCCATGCAGAAGCTGAACTATTTGCTTCTAAGAGACAAATTGAAGAAAGGTACATAAGGAAGAATCACCCTTTACGGAAAACATTTAGTAAAGCTTCAAAGTCAAAACAATTTGGTAACCAAATACTGAATGACCTAGAGGGTACCTGATTATGAGGGTAGCTGAGTAGAGAAGTAATGGTTAGCTTTCATACCTAAAGCAAATACCTGTAATTGTGTTTGCGAAAAATAGATTCATTTGTGTACCTCCTAGAAACAGGAGTTGTATGTGTAGTTGTATGTGTAATTGAATTTAACAAGTATGTTTGTATATATGCATATATGTATTGTATGCCAAATAATATGTAATATGTTTTTGCAAACATGTGCACATGTATATAAACATATAAACATATCTATAAATTTTACTAGGGCTGGAAGCATATGGAGCACATGATAGGTCACATTACGTTGGCTCAATTAGCTCACATACAGAATCTCTGTAGAGGTTGTTCTGACATCACATCCAAATGCCTCTGTCTTACTGGAAAAACTCTTCATTTACTTGCTGTTAACATGGATCCTCTACATTCAGAAATTTACTGGAAGCCAAATGTTACGGTATGCATTCTTTCCCATATTAGAGTTAGTTCCTCTATGTAAAGTTTATCCACCACAACATTTTTTATGTATGTACTCTTAAAATACTCCTCTTTATTTCAATCTAGTTTTACAAATTGCATGTAAGTCATAACAAATATATATCCTAAAACAAATAATTTCAGGAAAGTGCCTCTGCCTACATGCCATCCTCATATATTTGGCTGTGTCTCAGATAATCATAATTTATTGCTTTTTTATTTTTTCCTGAGGTTCCAATAGTTCCAATATTTATCGAAGACAGATTTTAAAAAAATCCTTGAATGCTTTAAAGGACTAGGTAGGTCAAACGGAATTTGTGCAAACAAAATGTATTTGATTCGTATTTGAGAAGCAAATCTTATTGTGAGTGTAAGAAAGGGAAAACTGAGTCTTTAAAGTAGTTATATTGTTCATAAGAAATGAACTGAGGAAAAAAACCACAAATATCTCGGAGATTATGTTGGGAGCCTTTTTAGTTTGTATTTGTCAAATTATCATGATAGCGTATTAAGAAATGATGCCTGATGTTACTGCTAAATCACTCCGCACCAGGGATCATATACCTTCTTCTCAGGTAGGTGAGTTTCATCTTTACCTGGACTTTCACAAAAGAAATGAAGCCTTCTTAATGAAGAAATCTTCTTAATGAAGATTAATTATTCTTTTCCCATTATGATTAATAGGAAGAAGCTAAAACATACACTACAAATCCTTGCCTGACTTCAGCAGAATACAGTGAAAGGGAAATGACAAGCAACATTTTACCAGCAAGAAAATATGAGCATGATAAATGTAGGGGGAAAACACAGGAATTAAAGGTATTTAGCATATTTGCTTGTGTAATAATTTGAACACATCCTTTTTATGGAATAGCAGTCACCTTACCGTGCTCTCTTTGGTGGTAATGGTGATAGCTTATAGAAGTGACCTTAGGAAAGAACAAAATGACCTATCCATCTCTACCGTGAATCTCCTTCCTGCCTCTTAATGCATGCTGTTGTACATCGTTCACCTCGGTCCCTGGAAAGGTGATGGAGCAACTCATCCTAGAGAGCATCCCTAGATATGTGAAGGAAAAGGTGATTCAGTATCAGTCAGCATGGAGTCACCAAGGGGAGGTCATGTTTGATGAATCTGATAGCCTTCTATGATGGAATGACCACGAGACCACGAGTCAGTGACCATGAGATGTTGGAATTCACGATCCTGCGTGGAGGAAGCTGGGCAAGAAGTAGGATTACAATCCTGGACTTCAAGAGAGCCGACTTTGACCTCTTCAGTGAGCTCCTTGGAGCAGTCCCCTGGGCTAGGGTCCTAGAAGGAAAGGGAGTCCAGGAGAGCTGGCTAATATTCAAGCAGCACTTCCTCCAAGCTCAGTGCATTCCCACAAGAAAGAAGTCAAGTAAGCGAGGCAGGAGACTGATATGGATGGACAAGGAGCTGCTAGGCAAAGTCAATGAAAAAAAAAAAAAAAGAGTGTACAGCATGTGGAAGAAGGGCCAGGCCACGTGGGAAGAATATAGGCGCATTGCCAGAGAATGCAGATGCGCAACAAGGAAGGCGAAGGCCATGTGGAATTAGAGTTGGCGAGGGATGTCAGGGACAACAGGAAGGGTTTCTATAAATATGTCAGCAGCAAGAGGAAGACTAGGGAAAATGTTRGTGAAAATGCTGAATAGGGAGGGGGCCTTGGTGACGGAGGATGCTGAGAAGGCAGAGTTACTAAATGCCTTCTTTGCCTCTGTCTTTACTGCTAAGGCCACTCCCCATGATCAGCAGGGCTCAGGTGGAAGAGATATAAATGGACAAGAGGAAGACCTTCCACTGGTCGAGAAGGATTGGGTTAGGGATTGCTTAGACAAACTGGCTACCCAAAAATCTATGGGCCCCGATGGGATGCACCCAAGAGTGCTGAGGGAACTGGCAGAGGTTATTGCTCAGCCACTCTCCATTATCTTCGAGAGGTCCTGGAGAGCAGGGGAGGTGCCAGAGGACTGGAAGAGAGCCAACATCACTCCAGTCTTCAAAAAGGGCAAGAGCCGGGCAACTACAGGCCGGTCAGACTCACCTCCGTCCCCGGAAAGCTGATGGAGCAGCTCATACTAGAGAGCATCCCTAGGCATATGAGGGAGAAGGAGGTGATGAGGAGTAGTCAGCATGGATTCAGCAAGGAGAAGTCATGTCTGACGAACCTAATAACCTTCTATGATGGGATGACTGGCCAGCTGGACGATGGGAGAGCCATAGATGTTGTCTACCTTGACTTCAGCGAGGCTTTCGACACCGTCTCCCATAATATCTTCATATGGAAGCTCTGGGAGAGTGATCTGGACAAGTGCACAGTGAGGTGGATCAAGAGCTGGCTGGATGGCAGAGCTCAGAGGGTGGTAATAAATGGGGCCGAGTCCAGTTAGAGGCCTGTGGCCAGTGGTGTCCCCCAGGGGTCAGTACTGGACCCCATGCTGTTCAACTTGCTCACCAATGACTTGGACAAAGCGTGCACCCTGAGCAAGTTTACAGACAATACCAAGCTGGGTAGAGTGGACAACACTCCAGAAGGCTGTGCTGCCATTCAGGGGAACCTGGACAGGATGGAGAGTTGGGTAGAGTTGAATTTCATGTGGTTCCATAAGGACAAGTGCAGGGTCCTGCACCTGGGGAGGAATAAGCCCAGGCACCAGGACAAAGGGTGACCTTCTGGAGAGAACCTCCACAGAGAAGGCCCTGGGCATCCTGGTGGACAACAGACTGAGCATGAGTCAGCAGTGCCCTCGTGGCCAAGAAGGCCAATGGGCTCCTGGCTGCATGAGGAGGATGTTGCCAGCAGGACAAGAGAGTGGATCCTGCCCCTCTGCTCAGCTCTCTGGAGGCTGCACCTGGAGTACTGGGTGCAGTCAACCAAGACTCCCCGATCCCTCTCTGCGGAGCTGCTCTCCAGCAGATCATCCCCTATTCTATGCTGATACCTGGGGTTATTCCTCCCCTAAAACACTCATCATCTGTATGCATATTAATATTTGTTAAATATAATATTAATGCTCATTTTAATAAAAACTCTTTTATTATTTAGAAGAAACATAGGTTGACTCAGAATTATCTTTCTCAATCAAATGAAGTTCTACTGCAGTGCATGGCTATTGCATTCTGCCATAATATTATTGATGTATTGGCTCCTGCTAGCTTGGAAATACTTGAATGCTTTGGGCAGTTTGATCCAGTTTTGACAAGCCAGTTTTTGACTCTTCATCAGGTAAAGCAGCTAATGAATTACTGATTTTTCTAGTAAAAAAGAGTGTTTTAAGTTAAGAAACAGATGGTATGATTGATAATTTTTTATGTAAGTTAATATATTAAGTCCAAAATATATATATTTATACATTTTATATATAGAGAAAGCATATTTTAAATATGTTAATATCTATTAAAACAAATGATAGATAATATAATAAAAGGCCAGTATTGCCCTTGCAGAAGTGCTGTAATATAATATAATATAATGTAATGTAATGTAATGTAATGTAATGTAATATAATATAATATAATATAATATAATATAATATAATATAATATAACTAATATAAAAATTTTGCAGAGCTGCTTAGCATCCATGGTGATGAGAAATATTCTTCTAACAGCTACTTCAAACACCAGCAGCTCACAGCTGGCAGCATTATTGCATTTTCAGAATCACTTAAAACAAAACAGAGATGCAAGTGATCTTCAAAAAAATGTGGAACAGCAACTGACTGCTATTTCAAAGGTAACTTTTTGAGTAGAGCTCCTTAGGAGGAGTTTATATGTATGCTATACAGTTATACAGAAACACACACACACACACACACACACACACACACATATTTTTTTATGTAGTTATATTATTTCTGGAACTAAATAATATATTGTCTCATTACTTTAGACTCTGTTAAACATTTTTGTTTTCTTAATTTGAAGCATGGTATTGACTTGGTGGATGCAGTCATGAAATGAATTTTTTTTTTTTTTTTAAGTATGGAACATGTTAACCTATGGTTTTGCTTATGATATATTATCTGTGTGCCAAAAGCTATGTAATTTAAGTTAGAAGCAAGATAAAAGGATGAAATTCAGGCTTGTCCTGTAGTTACTGTTTTTGTGTAGCCTGATAGTGGAGTTGTGTTTGTCTGCATGCACGACCCACTGAAATCATTGTAGACTGAATTATCCAATCCAGCTATAGGTAGTACTGCAAAGGACTCTTTCTACAGAGAGTCCCATCAACCATCTTGGTTGAAATACCTTGTTCATTGGCAAGTGTTACCCTATGAAAAGATCCCAATAAAGTAGCTTTTGGGGTTCTGTTAGCAAACTGTTCATGAATTTCTGGCCATCATCTAAATTGTGATGTTGCAAAACAGATGTTTAAAGAAACCAACTAGTAAAAATCTAATTCATGATGCATAGTTCTGGAGCAAATCGTGATTTTCTCTCCCAAAACTTTTCTGGCAGAGAATTATTCTGTCTTTGGGTCTAAACTGGTGGAAAGCTATATATTCTTCATGTAGCTGAGATATAAAAGTGGATACCAAAACTAACCTTGGAAATTCCTAGTTTAAAAACCTATTTAAAGTTAAAAAAAAAAAAAAAAACACTTCTAGAAAGTTAGCCACAAAGAATGAGCTGACAGGGATTTTATGCATGTCCTGGAGAATTTACAAAATGTGGAAAGCAGAAATACAAAGAGGCATGAGAAAAGTTAGTATTTTTAGATGATTTCTATACGTTCTGTATGCTCTGTACTCAACAGAGATGAGAGGATAACACTTGGCTTAGCAGACACTGACTTGAGTTGCAGTGATCATCTAAAAGGTAGAAGATACCAGAGCTGAAAAGATGTAGCAGCAGCACTGTGTGTGCCACAGTAGCTGCGGAACAAAAGGCGAGATGTCCACTCATCTCTGCATGTTACCTATCATGACTTCAGGCAGCCTGAGGTTAAGAGGCCAAAGTGGGCATGGAGCCTCTGCTCTCAGAGAGTGTGCTAGGGTTTTTTTAAAGTACAGTAGTAGCTTTCGGTTCAGATCATGAGTGTGCTCTCAGAGTCACTCTCCTGATTGTTCTTTGTTACTGTGCTTGTGCTACGGAGCAGTGAGTGCATGAGCTGGATTCCTACTAGGCACGGACTGAACTGGGTGTCTCATGCACTCCACAGGTGGAGTGCACACTCCACAGACACAGGTGGGCTAGTCCAGGGGACCAGTGTAGTGGTACTCCAAAGTAAAAATCCTTGAGCAGCTCCAGCAGCTCCTCATCGCCCTGTGATGGGCACATCAGTGGAGGAGGCTAAAGGGAGTGTGCCTGAGCACAAGAAAGACTTCGACCTGAAGTGTGTGAACAAACACACACGAATGCCTAGACTTAACTGTCTCAGAGATGTTTATAGTACTTTTGCTGTCTTAGGGCCACTGTTTCATCTGGGGACTGAATTCTGGTTTTAGTCATATCTCTTGGTATTTTTGCTTTTGTTTTCTCTAAAACAGATGTATATTCTTAGCATGAGATGTAATCATTTTATATAGTTTATTTTAGTCAAGTCTGTTATTAACAAAACAATGAAGGACTTTAATGAGTGTTGATGTTATGTTGAGTTATTCTACTTCCTCCTTTGCTAATCCATGTAGTATTTGATAATATTTTTGCATCATAGTTAGGGTAGCAGTCAAAAAGATCGTGTTGTTATTGACTGGACTAACAACTAGAGCTATTTGTAATTTGCTTAGGGTAATATTTCTAATCTCTTACACAGTGCACAAAAACATGTGTTATTTTTCAAAATAAGGCACCTTCTTTTTAAGAATTACTGGTTTTTTTTCTGGTGAAAGAATAGAGATGGTTTTTTATAAAATGTATGAAACTAATATCACTTTTGAATTATTATGCAGGCATGGAAAAATCTCCATATTCCTGTTGAACATTTTAATATCATGAATGAATTGCCACCTAATTTTTACATAGTTATCCTCCAGCATTCAGAAGACAGGTATAAAATTTCATCATTTCAGTTTATCATTTTGTTTGGTGCTAATGTCATCTTTCTATACCAGTGAATAAAAGCTATATTGACTGTTTATTAACTTTTTCTTTTAATTTGGTGGTTTTGAATTTTAGGATAGTGAACAAATTAATAAAAAAATCTACCTACAACTGCAACTTTTGATTTTCCATAATTATCTCTGTTCTCTAGACTAGGGAACTTTAAGGACTAAAAAAGCTGTTTTTTGATCTCTAAAATCTGGTTTATAGTTTCCAGTTGTCATGCTCTATGCCCTTGCAAATGTTAGGAGGAATCATATTTAGGGGTCATATAGAGTCACAAATGACATGGTTATTGCACCCGAAATAAATCACTCATAAAACGAGCTGTAGTGACTATGTGTACCCTCACCAGTTGTGAAAACTCTTAAACAATTGTCATGGCAATGCAAACGCATTGAATTATCAGCAATTGATAAAGTTGCTTCCTACCAATTAGGCTAAATAGCCAAATAATTAACTCACCATTTTTCTCCTTTCCTTAGATCAAATTTGTACAGTTCAGTGATTGAAAAACCAAAAGTAAGTACTGCACAACAAAGAGGAAAGCCCACTCAGCCGGTGGGTAAGTGCCTGTTACATTTAGAATTAAAAATAATTGTCCTGTTATTTTTAGAACATCCGTATGTTTCACTGTTGCTTTCAGTAAAAGTTTAAATAATTGTTGTAACTCCTATTAATACCAGAAGAAGGTGTTTCATAGTCAGATATCATGTATTTAGTCACAGTTTATATACTTGATATTGATACTTGAAGGCTAAAGTTGTTGTGCATAAATATCAAGTGATTTTTAATTGTATGTTTCTGTATAGACTTTATGATAAATTTATGTAAACCACTAAATTTATGTAAACCATTATTTCATATCTCAAGGGATACTGAGAAATATTGTTTTAGATCTTGAGTTTGTCTCTATAACTATTTCTTCAATTAGAAATATGATTTTTTTAAAGTATCTTAAAGTGGTGTTTTCTCCTTTTAAAGCTAAAGTTTCTCGGTTTCCCATGAATCCTGATATATTTTATGTTTTGTTGGAAAAAGTGCGTCTTTACAAGCAGCAAAAGATGAATAGACTTAAAAAAGCTAGCAGTCAAAACTTGCAAGAGTGTGTCTCCAAAACACACGAGGTAATATATTTGATTATCTTATATTTAAAGATATGTAATAAATATACTAAAAGCCATCAGAAATACATACATACACATGCACGCATACTATATATATATGCATATAATATTTCAATTTATTCCAAATGTATTTCTGGCTTTCCTAATTAATAAATTCTACCTGTGCTCTGCTTATAATTTAATCTTATATTATTCCACTATTATTTCAATATATTATTCAAAAGCTTTGAAATGTTCTGTAGTTTAGTGCAGTGCAAACTTGATACAACGGAGTCCAAATTATACAAAAATGAAGTTCTGTGTACCCTTAAGATTTGCATTCTGCACATTGGCTTTCATGCCTTTAACTCTAGATAAAGGAAAAGATTTTACGGGAGAGCCCCAGATATTCCCCCCTCCCCCTCCTCCTAAAATGCGATTATTGAACAAAACTCTTAAATTGAAACAAATTAGACTTAGGCAGAGAATTATCATCAGTTCCCAGCATGGGACAGTTTTGTACCAGAGCACACAGTATCTTTTTTAGCGTAACTGCTTATTTGAATGTAGTAGATAGGAATCTGTTACTGTCATCTGCTTCAAGGACATACCTAATTGGAATTTCAAGATTATATATTTGAATTTGAACACTCTGAAATTCTAGATGATGAAAGTTTTGTGTTCCTACAAGAGGCTTCCATTCTATAAAGTCTTTGTTTCTAAATCTCATTGTGCAGTGTAAAGGCACAGTGGCAAAAGCCTCTGACTTTTGCATAAACTTTCAAACTGCAAGATCACAGGAAGTGTTCTACACATTCAGTATGTAAGTCTGTGTCCTCTGTCATTCTCAATTACATTAATTTTGACTCAGAGTATATGTAGGTGTTCACACTTACGTTTTTTGAAACTGGTTTGATATATTTTCCATTTCATGGTGTTTAAATTAATCTGATGTAGCCTCAATTTAACATATTACACCTTAAGTCCATGCTAAATACCATTTTGTAAGTATTATTTTTTTACTGAAATTTGTTTCACAGTCTCCCATAGACAAAATAGATGAGAATGTACAGGATTTTACATCAGATTTCTCTGAAATAGTGGAAGTTATGGAAGACTATCTGAAACCAGTGCTGTCACAGTTTGAATTTCCTGATACTAGGTAAGACATTTAGAATTGTTTCATCATCATTGTAGAAAATAAAATTGTGACCCAGGCTCTACCAATACAGGAATGATTTTAGCAAGCGTAGAACCTATGGAATGGACTTTTTACTTCTTTTGAGATCTAAGAGGACTATATAACTATATATATAAAACATAAAATGCTTATGTCCATCTCTAAAAAGGATTTTCCTCCAGCGCAAATCATACCATATTGATCTGAAGGTGAAACATTATAACTAAACAATTTAAGGATGTGGTTTCCAAGGGCCAGGACTTCCAAAGGGAGTGTGTTCTTTGTCTTAAATTTCCTTGAGCTTGCACTACCTTTTCTTTATGCCTCCTGTCAAAATCTCTTCTTGTTTATGTATTGATGATAGTTATATTTTCAATGTTCATATTCCCAGAGAACAGACTGCATCAGTTTCAACTGAATCAGGAAAAATGAAAGTAAAAGATAAGGATACCAAACGCAACGAAATACAAGGTACATGGTTTCTTGAGGATAATAATGGATACAACACGTGTAAATATTTATATTTACATATATGAGCAGATATTAGAATGCTGATCTTCATTATAGTTTTTTGGTTTTCAGAAGTCAGTAAGGGAAAAAAAGGTTTTATTTGCATTTATTTTCTATACTGGTTTAATATTTTAGTGTACTTCCAAAGTGGTTGTTTATATGCTGGAAGGATATGCATGTATCCACAGCCTTGAAACTACAGGTTTCAGACAGCCAAAAAAAAAAAAAAATTATCATAAACCAATGTTTTCAGGAAAAAGGCCAATAGAAAGAGAACTTCATTCATTCTGTTCATCTTTTTGTCTATTTTATGCTTTCCTCCTTTTTACTCAGAGGACTTTCACAATACTTGTGGACCATCACAAGGTTTTCTGCCTCATGCTGGGAAGTAGTGAAGTTTACAATTAAAAATTACTAAAAAAAAAATAACCCATTTGCAGTCACTTTTGTCCCGAAGAGTTTCTTTCTACAACATGTCAGCTGGCTTATTCTGTCATTCTGGAAAGACTTAAGATAACCTGTCTTTCATGTATTTGTTTTTTCTCTGCACCAAATGGGAAAATGTTGACATAATGATACTTAGTGCTTATTTCTAAATAACAGAAGCAAAGCTTCCTACAAAGTGATATAGTTAGCATTGGATAGGAGCTCTTCTAAAACTTTTTTTTGTTCTTTTTTTTTTAAGTCAAACATAATTAGAGGATTTTTTGTTTCCAAACATCATTTCCTTGTGTACATTGCATACACGTGACTAGTTTGAGATGGTGTGGCTATTAATATAAGGATATTTTTCCCTCTGAAGAATTAGCTCTCACAAATTAATATGCTTACAAGTTTGCTGGGTCTTAGGGAGAGCTTTATCAAAAGAAATACAATTGTATAACACTCTTCATTCACAGTAAAATGGATTTCATTCACAGTAAAATGGATTATGCAATAGAAGTTTTGCAAGTAGCTTCAGTTATTGGTATACATACTGAGAAATACTAAATCTCAGTCTTGCTGTAATTCTTCAGGTACACCTATGGAGTTAGGGTTGTGTGTGGTATTATTGGCAGATACGTTACTTATGGAATTGCCTTTGGAAGGACTGAGTATCTTTCAAGAAGAGGGTGTATGTTCTGTATCCAGAGATTTTTCTCTCCAGATTCTCTACAATCGAATGTGTGTGGAAGAATCAGGTACTTTGAAATAAACATTCTTTGTATTAGTATGGTAAAGCAATAAGCAAGATACTTAAAATGTGACAAGCATGAACGGTATAATGTATTTTATGGAAATACTGCCATATACAATAGATTCCTGGTTTTGGGGCTGTAATATAAATATTAGTAAGTGCAGTAATGCAAGTAGTATTAATGCATTATACAGTATGTATCTTATTGTAATATATTTGCAATGCTAGCTAATTTAAAATGACCTGTATTGTGAAAGAATAAGGTGTCTGCTGGATTCTAAGATAGCTTATGAATTTTGAAAGAAAAAGAAAGACTTTAAACTTACATAATGCATGACTTTGTTTATATCCTTGTTTATCTATTACCAAAGTTTAAAAAATCCAAAGTTATATTAGTCATATAAAGAAAAGAACACATTAAAACTCTAATTAAATTACTAAACCTAGTGAATCTAGACAAAAAATAGGATGAGAAAATTTCACTCTGTACCATGAGAGTATTCTGCAAAGCAGAGATTCCTGTATTGGGCTCATATCACTAATATTTAGCACCTTAAGTATAACCTCTCCTGTGTTTTTCTGTGCCAAGATTCCTTTCCACAGAGAGGGAAGTGTGGATTATCTAGGTTTAAAATATTTTTAAACTACATACACATTCACATATTGTTATATGCCTATTAGAAATAGCAATTTTAGAACATGCAGTTTTTCTCATTTCTGTTTTACCTCTTTTCAAAGTGAAACCTAATTGTAGAAGTCAATAAAAGAGAGGAAGTGTACCAGTAAAGACTCTGTGTAATTAGGAAAACAGCCACTGAAAAGAAGTAATAGCCGAATTAGTATTAATGCGTATCTTGAATTTCCCCCAACTTCCAGAGCACTCCAATGATAACTAACACCTGTACTTTGGGCAGTAGCCATCTGTATATTGAGAAATAAGCTGATTTCTTGTCCTCTTTTGAAATCTCTTAAAAAAATAAAAAGTAAGATTAACATGTGAGATACTTTTTTCTCGTGATCTCTACATATTTCAGTGAAGTGCTCATTATTCCAATAACATCAAGTATGGGTACTCTAATAGGTTAGGAAGTGCTCCACTGATAACTGTTCAGCTCTATCCTCCTAAATATAATAAAACTTGTCCTTGTCCAAGGACAATGTCTTAGCTTCTTTTCCACTTTTAAGCCATTATCTTTAGGGAAGAGGGTTTGGCGTATGTCCTTGTGTTTCTGTTACATGAAATAAATTTTTGTTTCTCTAACTTAATGTGTTGTTATCACACCCTTACAAACACAAGTCATTTTCAAGAAAATTTTGATTTCTAAAACTGCCTAATTAAAACAGTTCAATTGTTCAATTCTACAGAGATTGAAGTGAAAAACAATGTTGAGATGTCTAAAGAACCAAAACGAAAAGCTGATCAGAAGAAGAATGTCAAAATGGTAAACTGTCCTACTTCTTTAAATAAGCTCTATAGGATTAGTTCTTATTCTGTAAAACATATGTTTATATTATAGAATTGTAGTTTCTATAATTTTTATTATGCTTTCTTGATCTGCATTCATGAAAAGCTCTAAGGTTGACTTGCATAGAAGGTGATTATATTTGTTGGGAATCTGAAGTGAAATAAATATTGCACAGTGCCATAAGGATCTTGTTTCTTATTGATTTTGCAATAACTGCAGAGTTGTTGATTCTTGGAAAATCAATTTCTTTGTAAAAGTGTGACATATTTAACAACCCATCAAGAAGGGGTACTTAAACTTACTAGAACTACCTCCCCTTAACAAGATGGTACACTGTATAAAGAATGTAACCATATTATTTGAAATAAAAATAGATACAGAGAAGAATGTAGTTTAGCTTATGCTTTTAATTTCAGTTGGCAATTGGGTATCATGCTGCTTTAAATCTCACCTTCAAAATGTCTAGTCATCTTTTGGTTGTTTGTTGCACGTAAGGGATATAATACTGGTATATCTACCTAAGACTTCTGCTTGTAAAAGAAGAATGGTTTTTAATTGCAGGGACCCATTAATCGTGTTTTACCTTCTAATTGCCTGTCTGTTGATACCCATAATTTTAAATGTATCCTTTCACAAACCATTAGCTAAATCTATCAATTAAGATAAATTTCCATTGTTTTCATTGTGTTTATTCCATTATTTACACTTAACTTTGAAACAGATATTGTGGATCCTTATAATGAAGGAAAAGAAGCAGGTAATATAAACTACCAAATAATATTAAACAATACCTACTCAATTTAGAAAATTATGTAACTGAAAAAGAAGTCATGACATTGACAAGTTGGGAAAAAAAGTGAAGCTTTTCATCAGAACAGTAATGCGTAGTCATCAATCATTTGGTGCATCAATGAAACAATAAAACCAGGTTCAGGAAAGAAAATCAGTTTGTGTTGCCATTTCTTTCATATCACTAAATATTGAACAAATAATTGCTTGAGTTACTTTCTTATTTTATTATCCAGTTGAAAACACAAGCCTTCTTTCAAGAACTAGTTATCATGTTTTTTGAGATACCCATTGTCCCTGTCCTTGTCCGTGGCCACCGCTCTTCTCAGTGGTGGCCACAGACAGGACCCAGGGGCAATGGGTACAAATTGAAACACAGGAAATTCCATCTCCACATGAGGAAGAGCTTCTTTACTGTGAGGTTGCCAGAGCCCTGGAACAGGCTGCCCAGGGAGGCTGTGGAGTCTCCTTCTCTGGAGATCTTCCAGACTCACCTGGATGTGACCAGGTACCCTGTGATCTGGGTGTCCCTGCTGGAGCAGGGAATTGGACTAGGTGATCCCTAAAGGTCCCTTCCAACCTTAATGATTCTGTGATTCAGTGATTCAATATCAGTAGTGCAAAAAAGGATATATGTTAATTGAAAGAATATGATGCTTTGTATAATCTTTGTTATGGAAGAAATCCGCCTGAAAGCTGTGAATAGACTTAGAGGAAATGGGGCTGAATGGGAACGCATTGGGACAGGGAGAGTGAAACTCACCACACTTCTAAGGCATATTTCAGACTAGTAGTGTAAATAAAGTTTATTTTTATATATAATATGAATAATTTAAATATATATATAATTTAAATATAAATGTAAGTATACGATTAATATTTACAAATATGTATTTCTGTTTATGTATAAATAAAGCATGTCTAAGAAATCAAATCTCTGCATGTTACCTTACACCACTTTGAGAGGTGAAGTTACTAAGAGCGATACAGATGTTAGGGTTAGGATATTTGTAATGATTACCATTTTCTGGTAGAGTGTATTTACCAAAACCACAAGCTCCGTCTGACTCAAAATATTTTAATAAAACCATTTAACCTCTCTTTTTCTCCAATTACATACAATAGTTTAATGAAGTCATATTTCTTAATAAACTTACATGTATAGAATTCTAAAAATGATTTAACAAATACCTTTGTGACAATAAACTAATCTCAACTCAGGGGAAGCTACTGAACAGTGAGTAGATACTGGTACACATCTCCATACGTTTGCAGTTTCACTTTCACAGCAGATCAAAATTCACTGTTTACAATTAACTCAACAACTGGACTTGAGAATGTCTTTAATTTACAGTATTATGAAAATGTAATCAAAATTATGAAAATGTAGATCAATTTGGAATTTTTTTAACTTATTTGAATTGAAGGCTCTGGAAACTGATTTATTTTTTCTATCTACTTAAGTTCTCAGAGTCCCTGGAGCAAAATTACGTGAGCAATATTTTCAAATCTTGACACTTTTCTCAGGGCAGCTGAAGTTTATTCTTTTTGCTTCCTCAGTCTTCAAGCTGTCTATTGAATCACACTTCTCAGTTGCAAAATATACCTTTACAGTGGCAATTAAAAGCAGTTGTATCTGGTTGGAGTAAATGTCTCAGTTGCTACAGGCTTAAAAAGTAGACTTCCTTGTCATAAATGAATGAGATCTAATGTGGCTTAGAAGAGACTAAATATTATATTGCCATTTTAACATGTTTAAAATTAATATTGTGCATTATTGCTTCTAGTATGCTGAGCTCATATTGATAAAATTCTAATATTGCAGAATCTGTAAGTCCCTCACAAAAAATAAATGAAATCCTAGAAAAATACCATGACCCATTTACATCACAGTGGGAAGGAGTTATTGGAAACATACATACTCCGAGGTTTGTGATATTTCAACTACTTGCATGTTTTGTCTCTGTTTCTTTTTTGTAATGCTGTTGCTTCCCAGTTTATTCCCTTCACTCTCTATAGGAGTAGTTTAATTTTATGGGCATAGAAATAGAAGCCTAAAAGGTATCTCAAGGACTTAATCAGTATAAGTGCTATGAGACAATACAGTCATCCCTGGACCTCTCTTCATAACTCTTTGTTTGTGCTTTAAAATCTTCTCTACTAAGATTAAATACACAATGGTGTTGTTTCTCACAACAATTACAAACATACAGCTATTGCCAGGTTGCACAGCTTTTGCTGTTAGTTAAGATGCACCTCTTCTCAAAATGGAATTTCTTCATACTCCGAATACTCCCTTTGAAAGTTACACTAAACATTGTTGTTTCAGAGCTATGCAAATGCATGAGTTAAGGGTAGTTCTGAGAGCAGGGAGTTTTCTCACACTCTGGTAGGTATCCATAAAATGCAGTATGCCTGTTGCTTGCAGAGCTGAAATGTTGCTAAATTAGGTATACCCCTTCATTAAACATATGAACAGTAGTTCATATGAGCTACTTCTCTTTCCGTAGAAAGTTGTAGGTTTGTTTGTCTCCTTGATTTGTATACTTGCTTTTGTAATAAATATTTCTGGAGCAACTAGCTCTAAAGTGTTTGCTATGGATACTTTCTAAAAAATATTCTTGTACAGTATTTCCATAAATATAACTTCCTTTCTTTGCAGCCAGGTTGAATGGGAGCAACTGCTGACCAACTGCAGCGCATTTGTATTCTATGGAATGGAGCGCTTCTTGTCTCATATGTTACTCAACAGACTGGTTGCTATGAACATTCCAAGTGAGATAAGCAAATTCTAAAGTATATTTTTATTAGGATACTTTCTTTTCCCGAAAAAACAAAAATGTATTTATTTCGTGCTATGTTGTTATGAATTCTTGACGTAAGCAATTAAGTTCTTTTCTCAAGGTTGAGGATTTTAATTGAAAAAAACTTGACATTTATTTTAGTCTCTTGCACAGTTTTCTCTCTATTCCTCATAGGATAATTTAATTGTTTCTCCACTTCCAAACAGTGGGATTTCAAATCACAGAAGTTCTCAAAGTTGAGCCATCATCTGATCAGGTTTCCACTGACTCGTCACCCTTTCTCTTGAACTAAGTATTTGTTAACAATGTGTTTTCTACTGCTGAGAACCACCTCAGCAGCACCGAATTCCATCTGTCCCATGCAGACTACACAGAACCGTCCTGAATACTGGATTAATACAGAGTGATTTTCCCTGTACTGGCTAACCTTTGTAGAGTCTGAGAAGGTATTTTTTTCTGCCTCCTCACAACTGATTAATTCTTCTGGTGTTAGAGCATGAGGCTCCGACTCAAGAGGGTATTTTGAGTTCTCGGTCATCCTCTGTGCTCCTGTTCCCCTTGCACATCCTGAAGATGCTGAATTTAGAGCTAAATTGTCAGAGCAGATCAAGTGCTATCTGCCATCTAGACTGTGTTGAGCATGTGAAACTGAACTTTCCTCCTCACACGACTGCCTCATTCCTGCTGCCTTTGGGGAACTCTTCGTGGCTGATGATACCATGTCCCAGAGAATTGTGGTAGTGATGGTTGGGTTGGGGTAAAACTATGGGCAGGGAATACACCAATAAACAGTACAGTAATGAATTAAACAGTATGAATGACTTCAGGACAAAGCATGAAAAATATAAAGAAATAGATCCAGCCTAATATAATGCAAATGTATAGAGAATACTATTTGTAAGTGACTTTTGGTGGTTCTGTGATTTGACAGCAAAAGTTAACTGAGAGCATTTGGAAAAATCATATTTGGTTATTAGAGTACTGTGATTATCTTCTAGAATGATATAAATAACATATAAAATGCTTTAATTATGTAGTTGATATTTGCTAGCAAGCATCAGACACGTCCTTTTATCTAAAAATGTATGGAGGTGTTTTTGATATGGAATCATATGGAATCATCAATTACCAGCTGTAATTACTATGTTACATGGACCTTATTATTAATTATACTAAGGTGGTATAGGCAAACATGCTAGCTACTATGGGAAAATATAGCAAATTTGTATTAGATAATATTAAGATGATATTAGTGAGCTACTTTTCCTCAGTATTTGACTTCAATATTTGAATTTTGTTTGAAATATTAATTTTATATTAGCTGTTTATACTGTACTTTAAGCTGTTAACTATGAAAGGGCTGTTTTATTACGTTAAACATTATTGTTAGTGCAAATACTCTTATTACACCAGATTCTTTTTTTTTTTTCTAGAATGCCTTTTGATGATACTTTTAGATCTGGTGCAATCAAAGCAAAGTTATCAGCGAATGATGAACTCTGATATCCACAAAAGGTAGGATGAAATTTGCTTTTGTAAAATCCACAGTAATTATTTTTATTATAAAAGAAAGTTAAAATTTAAGTTTCAAATACTTTTATTTACTTCTGCAAGTAGAAGGACTCATGATTGCATATAAATGTGGAATTATTCTCTTATTGTTCCATTCATTACATAGGGGCCATATGGAATCAAAGGTATGTGATACAGCAATGATGGAGAAAATATTCCAATGGAGAAAATATTACATCAGATGTTAGCTCTATCATCCTTACCTACCAATTATGATCTCAAGAGTCTCCAAAGAATATTGTTAAATATATATAAAGATCTATAAACATCTATAAATATATTTATATGAATATGATTATATTTATATAAACATGTATATTTAGTGTTTAAATGTGTTTATATAGATATATAAAGAACTGTAACAGATGAACTGGCAAAAGTCCTTCTAGATTTTCATGCACTGAATAGTTTAACAGGCAGTTGTTTATGTGTATAAATTATTTTTGCATGCTAAATGACCTTTTCAGACTGTTTGATGTTATTAATCAGGGCTTTTAGATTTGAAAGCATCTCTGTATTTTCCTTGCTTTTAAGTTGACGGGTGACAAGCTTTGTATATGACTGTTGTATGTCCATTTTGAATTCTTGACAGATTGCACCACTTCAGAGATAACTTTAAGATGTTAAAAGTAAGGGGGATAGTTTTAGTGTCTTGATATTAATCATGAGTTATTTAGCACATGGTGAATTTTCAGGCAGCCAAATTATACTCTTAACACGTGAGTAAATCAAAATGCATGTACTTCTATTCCCATTATTATTGGGACACCTGTATTAACGCAGCCAACTCAAGCTTGTATTTAACTCTCAGCTCTGTGAAAATCCTTTTAACTTTTCTGACTGTTCATTCCATGAATGAGAAACATAAAAAGACTCTTCCTAAAAATGTAGTTAATAGGCAAGAAGTTTTTCAACAAGTTTAATGAATGCAATGATGCACATTACAGTGAATTGTATTTAAGATATAAAAACCTGTGTACATGTATAGACAAGTCTCTGACTGTTTAAAAAAATCCTTATGTTTTTATTACTGTTATCCTCTTTCCCCTTCTGAAAACAGTTCTTCCCAAAACAAGACAAGCGAGTTTCCTACTCTATGTTTTGAACTCTTATTTTAATGGACATTAACAGAAAACTTCAGTTACCATCTTCTGCTAACATTGCAATGAAAAGCAGAGATTGACGAAAGCAAGATTCAACTTCTAATTCATTGCAGATTCAGTGCTATAGAGATTGACTTCTCTTCCATTGTTAAAACAAAATACTTACTTAAATATTCAGGAGAAGGATTTTGAATCCCACTGTAGAAGTGATTTGGTTTTAAGCAACCAAAATTACTGCCATGCTCATTCTAACTGAAACATGCCAAAGAGCAAACTTAATACAATAATTTCTTTATCCCTTCAGAAACTTAAACAGAATCAAACAGTCATTTCCACAATTTGCCCAGCATTTTCACTGTATAATAAAAATTATTCTGCAGTATTTTGTAAAAATCGATGTGTTTATTCCTCCACTGCCATCCGTTAAGATATCTAAAAAAGTACAATGACAGGTCAGGGAGCAATCCACTGGCTAGGTTCCGTCATATGAAAATGTAGTGATAAAGTTACAATAATTCTTTGAGATAAATATAAGGTACTGTATGAACTGTGCAAGAAAATCTCAATCTGGCATTTTTCTTTCTAGGGTGAAAGTTTTATAATATTCTCTTTCACTTTCTAATAAGAAGTATCATATGGTAAATGAATTTCTTGATATATTTTTACTCAGGATTGAATGTACTTACTTTGTAATTCTATTACTTTCAATTTTCTTTAGCTGCTCACATATTGCTTTGGAAGGACCAACAGAGACAGCAATGCTTCTAAGCCTTACTGGTGTTCATGCTATAATAGCCAACCAGTGGTACACAACTCTGCAAGAGAATGCAGAAAGGCTAGAAATTTTGTCTGAGAGTATGTATTACATTCTTCATTGTCTGTGTATGATGTTTTTCACATCTTTTACGCAGGTGCTTTTGTGCTTTGTGTTTCTACTCTCTCCTCTTTCTGTGAATTATTTTTTACCAAAACTTGTCTGGAGTCCTAGTCTCTTTGGACTAAGCTTCTAGCTCTTGTTTACTTACTCTCTGTAAGAGATGAAGTGTGCAGGAATTACCATATGTTTTTGATAGCTTGATCTTTCAAACAGAAAAATAACCTGTTAGGAAGTTAAATGAATGTAGTGGAGGAAGATTTCTGCATGGAGGAGCAGCTGCAGAAGTAAAAGCAAACAAACAAAAAGCTCTGGGTAACTAACTTCTATAAGGGTAACTAACTGTTACCTTATAGAAACAACATTGAATTTCTAGTAGTAAATTTCTTTAAGTTTTCTTTATTTCTAATTTCTTTAAGTAATTTTAAAAAATCATTTATTTTAAAAGAGAAAAAATCAAAAAAGAGATCTTTTTTTCCCAAAAAACTTTCATTAGCAACTCATAAAATATTTCTTTTCAGATTTGTTAAGAATTGGGAGGACAACTGGACAGACAGTCAATATTCTTCAAAAGAGGAAGATCCAGAGTAATTCAGTTAAAAGTAAGAATTTGAAAAACATTATACAAAAGCCTAAGGACAGTATGGTAACAGAATTAAAACCTGCTATTTAGTCAGTAGATTTTTAGTTATTGCCTTTAGTGATTTTTTTTTTTTTTTTGGTCATATGATAGCAGGAGAGGGCTGTGGACTGAATTACCAGTGTAGACCTTGAAGTAAATAATTATCTGATAAAGCTTTTCTGTTTAAATTAAAATGCAAAAATAGCAAACAATACAGACAAGAAGATAATCAGTATGAATTTGTATCTCAAGTCATTTGCATGTGCACCTTAAATAAATAAAAAATAAATAAATAAAGGACCTTAACACGTCCTTACTACCTTGTCACCAATTTGTATTAAAACGTACAAGTATATCTTTGTCTTGTTTTTTCTCTTAAGTATCTATTATAATTGGTTGATTCTACTGAAGACCCATGTGTAATCTGCAGATATATTAGAAATCTTTCAAATGAAACAAATTTTTGTAACACTTTTTATGAGAATTAAAAGAATTAAGAATTCTTACAAGGATGAAAAGTAGGAAGACCATTGATAATACTATGCTTGGAGTAAGAGTATTTTAGGTATGTAAAATTTCTTTCTGGAAATTTGGTCACAGCTGACCAAACAGTTAAAATATTCCCTCCACTGGACTGTTACAAAGTGAAGTAGTGTGAAAAAGTTAGGTCAACAGCATGCCATGCACAATGAAAATTTTTTTTGCGATGCGTAGTAGATTACATATCCAATGCAAAAAGCATAAGCATTTTTGTATTGTATTGTATTATATTTTTATAAAAATGTACTATAATGGCTATTAAAAATTAAAGATATTTACCCTGTAAAATTATACAAATATTTTTTATGGTATTTGACATAGCTTTTAAGGGTAAAGAAAATAAATTATAATGGTTATAATTTACACTATCAGAGATGAAAAGAGGGGAACAGTTCAGATTGTAAACAGTGCAAGATGCTTTCTATTTTTTTCAAAAAACTCTTTCTTGGATATAGTAGCAGTTATTTATTTTTTAGAAAGGAAGGTTATTAAGCAGATAAAAGTTAAAATACTGCGCTTCATAGCACTCTCATGCTCAGACATATTTGGAAATAACAATATTTTAAAATTATGTTTTCTAGTAGAAGAGGATTTTGACAATTCTCCTACAGAGAACGCAGAAGAACAGAACGTTCCTACTCCTCCAGATCTTACTGCAATTCATTCATCAGTTTTTAATTGTGTGTTATATGGTTTACCCAATGTAATTATTACATAACTTATGTCAGACTTTTCATAATAGGAACACCACAACAGTGTGCATAGTGCATGCCTTGCACTGGAGGCATCCCAATACCTTTATGCAAATCCTAAGAAGAGATCAGCTTAAGAAAATGTATGTTTGACTTATTGATTGATTTCTGATATAAGCAATTTCATATTAAAGTAGTTGAATTAAATATCAAAGTTGCTTCTGGATATTTCAATTAGTTACTACTCTATGCTTTTCTGAACTCGCTGAAATCTTTAAAAGAATAATTTAGAGTTCTGTTTGCTTTGACTCCAGTATTGCCTTTTTGGACAAATGTAAGCTACTATAAAAATTTTTGAGTTTGAATATCTGAAATTAGACACAAAATTCCAATTAAACATTGCAAAAATGTTTTCCTGGTGAGAAACACAGTTCTTAAAGGAGGTTAAGCTAGTATTTTGGGGCACTGATACCTAAATGGCATTTGGATACATCCTTGTCAATACTTCTGCTTGGAAGTGGCTTTCCTTGATTTAATTCGTTTTCAAATGGAAGATTTAGCAGGTACATAGCAGAAAGATTTACTAAGACACATGAATTAATTGATTTTTAATTTAGTATATTGCCATTATTGACTTATTATTTTGTTCCTCATTGAGCATTAAAATGATACTAAAAAGATACTATTCTTGGCTAGCTGCTGTGATGCAGCTAGTTAGAACCTGATAAGAGTTACAGAGCTATATAGAACATAAAATCATGACATGCAAAATACTTTTTTCATGCATACAATATAATCTAAATTCATGCTTCCTTCCTACTTGAGCTCAGTGTTTAATTAGGTAATCTTGCACAAACTGCAATTTCTCTGTCAAATTGTGTTCCATAACATACACAGTTTTATTTCACATTTAACTGCTTCTCTTTTTCTTCTTCTTTTTTTTTTTTTTTTTTTTTTTTTTTTTTTTTTTTTTTTTTTTTAATATGGATCATATAGTATATGTTTTGCATGTCTTATATCTGGGCACTTGGTAACAATACAAATTAAATAAAGCAGGGGCAGTGGTCTGTACTTTGTCTGCCTAGTCTGAAAATTCAGGATTCAGTATAAGTTGTTTTCGTATCTCACACTGACTCACAGACTTGCAGAACAGTTGAGATTGGAAGGGACCTCTAGAGATCACCTAGTCCAGCCACCTGCTCCAGCAGGGACACCCAGAGCATGGGGCACCTGGATGCGTACCGGAGGGTTGGACGCTCTCCAGAGAAGGAGACTCCACAGCATCCCTGGGCAGCCTGTTCTCATGCTTCTCATGTTTCACAAGACAATGGTATGAATGCCAATACCCAGTTTTACATTTTACTTATTTTTTTTTATTATTATTTTTAGTTGTTTCCAAGTGCTGTTTCATTGCATTTGCGAGTGTACACTTACCTAGTTAAATTTTCATGCACAGCATTTGGGAACCTCAATCATTTTTGAGTTTAAAGTAGTAATTTTTCTTAGTGAAGTAAATGTCCATACCTGGTGTCCAGTATGACAACTGTCCACTATTTGATTATTTTTACATGGAATAATTCTCCATACCATTCTCCAACTCACCCTTGGTTACAAAATCTATTTCCCTGCTGTTAATGGTTCTTTTGACCTTCAGTGCTGTCTTGCTAATGCTTTCTCTTTTTTTTTTTTTCTGTAATATAAAAGACTTTGGAAAAAGTGCCGCATTTAATAAGAATCATGAAGCCTTTCCTGCTTTGCTACGTGAGTTTTAATGAACTTGTATTAACTTCCAGATTCTTGAAATATCAAATTTCATATTAAATAAAGCCCAGAAAAGTTTCAGCACTTCAGAAATGACAGTGGTGCTGTAGGAAAATAATCCAGGATAAAAGCTTTAAGATTGCAAAGGTTAGAAGAAACTCTCATATCTAGGTACAGTGGGCTCATTCGATAGTTTACTCCTGTGCTTTTATTTATGAAACTGATGGAAATAACTTAATATTCCAAAGTGTTTTTCTCAAAAAATGTTCCCATTTATGTTTGATACTTTGGCCCTAACTACATTGCAGCAAGCTATGTCAGAAAGATGAATGAGTATGACCAAAAATTTCTTTATGGGCTGACAGCACCACTTTATCAGAAAGCATTGATAAAGAATGATGATCGTATCCAGGCAACTTCAGATCTGTAAGCTTTGCTTGGTCGGAGTAAGATACAGGAAACATGAATCAGAGGCACTGTAGGGAAATATGTACAAATGAACAACAAATGCAGGTTAGGTATAGTAAAAGTGGATGGCCTGCATCATATGCATGATATGTGATTGACATTTCTAAAGCATTAAAAAAAAATGATTGCTTTAGTGCCATGGAGTGGCACAAGTGGCAATACTTTCTCTATCACTGTGCTAAATACCACTCAGTAAAATCCTCAATTGGTATCAGGACTATATGAACAGAAAACTAACTGTTTGGATTTTAGGTAGTAGTGGTTATTCATGCAGTGACATAAGATACCATTGCCTCAGGAATTAGTATGGGAAAATATTTCTTACATGTCTGTACCAATGTGCAGTGACATGATAAAAGTTCCTGGTAGTAGAAAAAGTGGAGTCACTGCAGGAAAAGATATTTAGTAGAAATTTGAATGATTTTAAGAGAAAAAAATAGCATATATAAATTATTTTTTTATATTGCTTCATAAATTGACAAAGGGAATTTAACAGAGGAGGTGGAGAAACTATCCTACGTAAAGGAAGGATTCAACTGCTCAGCTGGTGAAGTTTTAGAGTCTGGAATGCTTTTCTTTTAATGATAGTAATTACAACTGGAGGTATGCAAATAGATTGAAAAGGAATGTTAGGAAAAAAAGTCTGTTTCAGATTCTGATTTGAATAAACACGTAAAAGCTTTATATTTTCTGATATTCTTCAGATTATGTTTAAAAGATTAAGTAGAAGAATTCTGGGAGGAGAAAAGGAATTTTAGTTAGGAAACATGAAAAGAACCCACTTGCACTCAATTTTAAATGTACTGTAATAGATCTAAAGAGTCTCAGCATTTTAAGAAGCTAAGTAAGTCCTCAACTTACTTCTTTGCCACACGCAGCGATACTTCCTGCAATCCAGGAGCATTTGCAGAGTTGTAATCGCATCTTCACCGCTGACTCCATAGATGAGTCTAAGGTTAGGGGAGGTAGCAAGAGTGAAAAACAGGCTCTCTGCTGTCTTCTGTGACCATTGAATGAAATCTCTGTCAGCTTTCAAACAGCCTCTGAAAAGGTCTAGGCAAGCATGATCTCTGAGCCAAAGATCTGGATAAAAAAGTAATAGTAATAAATTGTGAGATGCTCTCATGGGCAAACTGAATTGGTGTAGGAATAGCAGGCTTCCTCCTCACACAGGAGATGAGGGCAAAGAAAGGTAAAGTTTTTTTTTTTTTTTTTTCATGTGTAGACTGGAAGGAGGAGAAAATGATGTTTGTAGTATGATACACCCACCCTGCCCCCCCTTGCAGAGAGGCTCCTTGGCTTTAAATGGTTTGGATAACTAAACCATACTGTAGTCATATGAAGTGACTTGATAAGGATTTTTATATTTCACTATTGAATATGAAACTAATGAACCCAAATTTCCAACTTAATGTAGACTGTTGATTTCACATATGACTTTGTGTAGAAAAAAAAAATCCTAATAACACGTATGGAAATAGTCATGATGAAATGCTGGTGTGATTAAGTTAAACCAATCACTGAGAACACACAAATAGCATGAGCAGTCATGTTCTGGTGTTAACCTTATGGTATAATTTTTTTTTTGTAAGAATACTTCTCTGTTTTTGAAGGCTTATTCTTTGGTGCTCAAGAGAATGCACTCCAATGATTTGACTGTAAATTTTTATTTTTTAAAATACCATATATTGCTCACTATCTGAAAAGAAAAAAAAAAAACCCAACTAATGACCAAGGAATAAATTGTAGCAGAAACAGTTTAGGACATATGAGCTTTCTACTAGAAAGGCATTGGCACAAGCCCAAACAACAAGAATAAAAGCTTCTGAAAATATTTCATCTGCATGGCACCACATCTTTCTCCTATACTGTATCCATTCATACAAGAAATATTAAACAGTTAGTGCTATTCCATGTATCAACGGCTTTAAAATAACTTTCTGAATTATGTCCCACCAACATAACAAATCATGTTATCAATTAGCTTTTATAACAGAAATGACATTTCATAATATATTTGAGCATGAAAAGAATTGGTCAGCTAAAATTTATGTAATCTAAAAAATGTGAGGAGAAAAAAAATCATGTTGAATTTATTGATAATATTACAGGACAAGAATATAATTTGAGTTCTCGGTAGCTATCCAAGAAAAGTGACAGAAGTGTGTGGTTGTAAATGGTCTGCAGGGAAGGGCTGCAATGAGGTAGCTAGAAAATGATAAAAAAAAAAAAAAAAAAAAAAAAAAAAAAAAAAAAAAAGAGGAGCCCTATCATCGGTCCCTTGTGTGACTGCTCTGAAATTAAGCTGCCACAAGCAATGAATCAGAGGTTCCTCTAACACTTGCTGCTCTCCTGGTGAGCACAGCTGGCACTCTCCATAGATCCAGTCTCTGCTTCCCAATGGGAGCAGTGGAGCAGCTGACAGCTGGGATAGACTTGGTGTAAGGTTTCTATAAGGATACGTTCCCGTGATTTGTGAAGCCCATTCGTCTGCATGTGAACACTAATTCCGTGCCTTGGTGACCCTTTCTTTGCTCTGCCTGACCTAGAGCTGTCCAGAGCAGGGTTTAGGGGCAGAGCCAGCCACTCTCCCTGAACACAAACCTCGCGGAGGAAAGACGGGCTCAGTGGCTGAAGAGGAGCAAGCAACAGCCTGTTAATGTCTCAGGAATCAATTCATGTCTCTACCTGAGAGGTTGCATGGGGAGGCAGTCACACATTGTTACTACTACCAACCATTCACATGGATTTTAAGGATGTGATGAAATTAAAACTAAAGGCATGTTTATGTGCTCTGAAATAAATATCAGTCTGTGGAAGACCTTACTCATTACTCATCAAAAAAGCAGGGACAATCTGCAGAATATGAGTGGGCATTGTTAGCCTAATAGATGGCATTTGTAAAATAATAGTTACAAAAATCTTCATTAAAACAAAAGA